TATGGATTTGTTTTGTCCGCAGACATTGATGAGAGTGACTTAGTGCACAGGACAGCAGAGGGATGATTACTTTGAAAAATTCATTACAAAATTACCATGTGGCTCATGCTGTCTTAAAATTCAAGGGGTTCCACTGCACACCCACGGTCTGATGGCTATTACAGTTCGAGACAGAGAATCCGGCTACACCTGCAGCTCCCCAGACCCTCAGCGAGCATGGTATAAGTAGACTGTATATTTGGAAGTATTGCCAGGGGAAAATATTTGTCTTTCCTAACAAAAATAAAAAGTAAAAGTTGATTTTTCAAGAAAAGATGTAAATGAGCTTGTCTTGACAAGTCGGCATGGTAACACCATTTGAATTTAGCTACAGTCACAGCTGGGATCTGCCATTTAATTGGGCAGTTGTCCTCGTCATAGTGTCTTTGCATGGACGCGAACACATTGCTTACGTTTGTAAACAGCCACATGACACGCCGCATGGGAAAATTTTAAAGAAAAAATTAGCATTTTCCCTGCATAGTCGGCAACTGCATGTAGGGTAGGTGGATTGGTAAGCAGGTAGACAGGGTCTGAAGGCCTAAAGATGGGGTAAATATGATGAGGACTGATGGGGAACAGCTTTGCCTGAGGAACCAACTACATCCCAACCCAGTGCAAACAAAGCAGATAGAGGAAAAAGGCAAAGTGAAATACAACGGCAGACAGTTGGATCTGGAAACTCGCAACACATACCTGTAATCATTACCAAATCCCCCCCCCCCCATTCTGTCTTCAAGATACTTAGAATATCATTTTGAGATGGTCGTTTAGAAATAAGATTTATAGTAATGCAGAGCAACAGTCCAGAAACACATGTCAGCTCATGTCTGGCATTTATACTTACTGGGTATTAATACACCATACTCATTGGCTTTCATGTTTTCTCAAGAATATGCAAAAAAGATGTAACATTAAGGCATGGCCATGAGCCATGTTTTACCTTAAAAAGAAGTTGTGCATAAAATCTCCCATTCCCTCAAACCTCAACGAAATGATGCAACGCCAGAAGAAGAGCGGGTGAAAATTCCCCCACAGAGACATGGGAGTGTTCTGCAGAAAAGGGTTCTACAACACAGTAAATTGTGGCTCTACTTAATTTTTAATGCAGTATTTCTGGATTTTGGGTTAGTTTTTGGTAATGATTTAGTATTCATTCAAATCTGAGAGCTGTCAGGGACATGGAAATGTGTCGTTGTTTTATTCAGACTTTCCCACAATCGTGTGCGTGTGTGTATCTGTAAGTGTGTGTCAAAAGAGAAATCGAGGTGGAGATGGTGGCTCCGTACCTCTTTAGATAATCTATTTATGTCTGTCATACCTCATTAAGCCCAAATGAAAATATATTGTTTCTGAATACGTTTATTAAAATGTCTGTATTATCAGTCATGGCTACAGCAAAAAGCCAACAGTGTGATAACTTCATACAGATAGTGACTTATGTGATTTGCCTTGTCCTTGAAGTCCTAACATATCTAACAAGTAGAAGCTATTTCTAGTTACGTCATTAAAATTCTGATCTGAAATGTCAGCACTGGTGTAGTGAAATCTTTTCAGAATCAGTATATGATTCAAATTTGAAAGACCAAAACAAAAACATTGTATAGGCATCAGATGAGATCTTTCTTTTTCTGGAGGCTTCTGTTGCTTTAACTATGTGACATAAGCACAAAAGCAAACAGGGAACAGGTATTATTTTAAAAAGGATTTCTGTGAAACTCTGTAACACAGCAGGGTTAACCAAGAGAGCTGGTTTCTATTTATGTAGACTCTGTGTGAGAGAAAGAACATGTGCCGGAAACAAGTTTTAAAGATTATGATTTGAAGTTGCTCAGACGAAAATAGGAGTTTTTCATATTACTTGAGAATGACAGACCTCCGCAACTTGACTTTAATGTTTAATATTCAGCTATGTAGTTCATACACCATTCCTAGGTTTTAGGTAATGACATGCAGTGGGCAGAATACAAAAAAATGTTTTTCTCCCCATGACACGATAAAGTAAAATGCAATGATTTTCACATTTTTTTTAATTCTACCTTCTTAAAGATTGTTTCAGTACAGATATAGATCAGCTACATGAGTAGATTGGTGGCAACCACATGCAATCTGTGCAGCTGAAACCCAGACGGAGAAAAGGAAGTCCCGGTTTCAGGAGGGACAATTCACACATTCACTTTTGTTATCAGCTTCTCTCAACATTTGCAAAGATTTCTTTTCAGGGGATCGCTTCCATTATTCTAGAATATAAAAGAAACCATGCAAGCCATGGAACTGACACTGTAAAAACCTGGATTCCTTTCCACCATGTCACATTTTCATCAGTTAGTCCTGGCTTTTATTTTGTCATTCCCTGTGTAAAACTCCCTCCTCGGGCTCCACGGTGAAATGACAAAAACTGACATTCCGCTGTCCCAGACTGGTTTTTACGTAAGTCGTAATTAATCCTTACATGGACACAGGCTGCGAATGCCACGCCTAAAACACCTCCTTCTTTTTCGGGCTTGTTGTGGCCTGTGGTCACCCGGCTCCGCTGCCAGGAAGTTCAGGAACTCGGTCACCGCCCCAGCCCCCCCCCTCCTCCTCCTCCTCATCATCCATTGTTGGGCAATAGTCAGCCTGCCTAATCGGAACAGACTTAACCGAAACTGCTTCAGTTACAAAGTGCTGGAGACTACTTTGGATATTGCTGTATCAACTTTTGGGGATATTTTTCGAGAGGAATAAAAGCAGCTTTCGTATCGGCGGTGAAAAGCACAACTGAACGGAGTTGGAGAGGTAAGGACAAGGGAGGAAAACTTTTGAGGCAAGGAATTCCATACTTCTCATTCCACCATTTTGAACTTTTAAACTCCAGTTTATCCAATGGATTGTTGTCGTTAAAGTTCAATCATCCCGTTGTTTATTTTACAATAACGGGGATTCTGTATTGAGGGGATTAGTTGGGCATCTTATTGACGTGAACAAGTAAGTTTTTCTTGTCGCATTATAGCGGCCTAAGATAGGTGTTTGTTGTTGGTCGGCTAGCATTAGCAATAGCAAGTCGGTGTGTTGGGAAGACTACGTGAAATGGTAGCAGGTAACGGCAGGCTACGAGCTACGTCAAGTAAAAGTAGGAAGTACCTGTTTTAGAACAAGTTGACGTTTACTTAGATTTTATTAAACATTTACCAATGATGGACGGTACAGCGCCAAGCCAAACTGCCGTCTAATTAGATTGCTATCGACAACAGGTGTTAAGTTAAGCTGCTTAAAGTAACGGTTAGCAACCAACTTTAGCGGCCAAGGTGTTGGACCCACCCAAAGTAACACCTGTACCAACAAGTGAAGTTAAAACTATGCACTTAATTTCTTTGTGTCCGTTTCTTTCTTTTTTGTCCTACATCGTATTTGAAACCGTTTAATTTTTCTGGTAGTTTAATGAAATAGTTGGGTTAGTATAGTTTTTAAAAAGGTAATTTTACAGAATGCGCCCCCACAGCGTGAACCGTATTGCGCCAGACGGGCTTTGGTTTCGATCGTTCAGATTTAGATGTAACTGGTTTAGAAGTTTAAAAGCCACACCTATTTTGGGGAATCAAGATGCAGTTTAAGTTCCGCTGGAAAAAAAAAAAATCACCCCCCGTTTAAAAAAGGCTGTGTTTGTGGTTTGAGAAAAAAAAGGCTACCTTGTTGTTGTGGCCCTGGACTGATATACAGACAGAGTTGTGTTACTGAATATGTTTCCCATCACAAACCCATGCATTCATACAAGGGGCTGACCCCCCCTCCCTTCCAAACAAAAAAAGAGAAAGAAAAATACAATAAGAAGTTGTACTCCAGCACCCCTCACTGTGCATTAAAACGGTACCAAACAGTAAAATCCCTTTACAAGTGTCATCTGATATCATTTTATATAATTGTGATATCTTTTTTTCCCTCTTTTGTTAAGAGTATGGGTCAGTGTCTAGCTACGACATGGTTTTCATAATACAGCTAACTAGCTTTTCAGTTGGAGCCCCTCAGCCCTCATGGCCGGCTGATTATCCTCGCCTGCTCCATGTTTGATAGCTAATCAATGGAGTTGCAGTCACAGCCTGAGCAGGGAAATAAAAATTGGGCCACAGTGTTACTGTGCTCTGCCTTTGGCAATCATTCTCTGAGGGGAAGGGTCTGTTGGCTCATACAAGGACGTTGATATTTGGAACATGCTCTAAACTGTTGGAGGCTAATCTGAAAGTCTTCAAGGGCACTCTGTTTAGAAAGCAAAGTGATTTCTAATGCTCTTTTTTGTTATTTTATTGATCAAATGCCATCTTTTCACAAGCCTAATCCCTGTGACACGGGGAGTGTCTTTGCGTCCCTGACTCTAAACGGGCTTTAGGACGCCCGGTAGGGCTGACTGTAAGTTTCAGACAGCAGGATGAGTTTGTCTGACAGACATCTTTTACTTTTCCTTGCTTTTTGGTAAACACATAACTACAGTAAACAAACCACGACACTGATTTTGAGTATAAATGAAATCAATAAAAAAAATAATCCGCTTACATCAGCGCTGTCAATCTGTTGTCTGGTCACATACTCATGTTCTGTGTTTACGCTGCTTCCCTAAGAGATAGTTGTAAAGGGAAGAAAAAATGAATTGGTATTTAGAAATACCATTCATTTAACAATGAAAGACTTTAGATGGTAGAAGAAGCTTCATCAATAAGTGTTATAAAGAGGATTAACACAGGCTTGTTCAGCTTGAGTTTTAAATGAAGTGAATGGACGAAAAGGGGTTTTGACTTCAAGAAGTGGAAAATGCAGTGCCTCTTACGTTGTTTTGTAATAGTTTAATTGGTCAGTTTTGTGGCCTTGGCATGGATGACATTTTTCTGGCCTTGCTAAAACCTCTCTGAAATTCCTGTAAAAGCTTGTATGCATGCTCTTTATCACATGTTTCAGTTTTTTCTTTTTAACCCTGTAGAAATTGAGACAAAATGACGAACATCAACACAGCCAACATCAATTTTAAATGGGACCCAAAGAGCCTGGAGATACGTACCCTGGCAGTTGAGAGGCTACTGGAGCCTCTAGTGACCCAGGTAACATGAATACAGTTGTTTTGATTCTTCTTTATTTTAGGCTGAGTTCTAGAGAGCCTAATGAGACAGACGTAAAATGTGCCATTTTCTAGAGCGTCAAATGCATATCATAACAGCTTTTTATATTTAGTCAGCTCTCTTCCCAATTCAGACTTTTTTTTTTATTACACTCCATGTTAAGTCTTGCTATTTGTGAATATAAGCAAATTCAGTAACATATACCATAATTTTGGGTCAAATATGATCCTGAAATAGAAGTTCTAAATTCTCAAAATGTTTTGTTTTCCTGTCACAGGTCACAACCTTGGTGAATTCCAGTAACAAAGGTCCTTCTAACAAGAAGAAAGGCCGCTCCAAGAAGGCTCATGTTTTGGCTGCATCAGTAGAGACTGCCACCCAGAACTTTCTGGAGAAAGGAGAAAAGATTGCAAAGGAAAGTCAGTTCCTTAAGGATGAGCTGACTGCTGCTGTGGAAGATGTTCGAAAGCAAGGTATATTGAATAGTCATTTCTCTGCTGTGTGGCTTGTAGCTTGCACAGAGAGCTTCTTGTGATAAGATGGATGATACATAAATCATAAACTACATACACATCATCTCCCCAAGTAAAATACCTTGAAATAAGAATATGCTTTGAATGAAAGTTCATTTTGCTGAGGTTTTTGGGGAAATAATTTATAGACTTTTCATTAAAGCGTGCATATAGCGTGCCTTCATTTCAAGGCAGCCAACAAAGTACTGCAACAGGACAGAAATATAATGCCCACACAGCAAAATCCCATCTTGAAATTCGATGTTTGCAAAAAAAAGATAGAGGATTTCTGATTGCTGGGAAAAGAGGAGATGCAAAAGTTCCTATTTGTTTACATGTTTGAGGAGTTTGTCTCTGTTATGTGTGTTATCAGGAGTGTATGAAATGTTTCCCTGACTTATCCTGCTCTCAGTTTGAACAAAACCGCATTCATGATGACTGTGTCAGAATTGTATCATCCTACAATGAAGCTTGTCTGTCTATTGAGATTGATAGTAGAGGTCTAATTGAGTGCCCATCCGTTGAAAAGGTAATCTACTGGCTTGTGGAGTGGAGTACTAACTCACTTTATGGCAGAAATTACGCACAAGCCATCCACCAAAAGAATATTTCGTTCTTTTTCTTTTCTTTTTCAATCATGGTGCCTCCCGTTTTAGCTGTTGCCACAGAGATCAGAGCAGCACAGAGCATGAAGTGATAAAGGGACAGAGTTTACAGCTGTCCCTGATGATGAATAGGTTTAATGGTTACATCCGCCTACCTTGTGGCAGTCTGCTACCCACTCACTTTCTGCTTTCCATTCAGTTTCATGAGTCCCATAGGGCCTCAGACATGGGTTCACCATCAAATTGCCAGTCAAGGAAATTAATTAAGGTTTGTTTTTTGATAGCACGTTCCATCATAACACGCACAAGTCTCATTCAGTCCTTTCTTCCCTGTGTGTTTGCCATCTTTTGACACCCTAGCTGACCGCTGAGTCCAGGGAGGGTGGCTGTTATCACTCTCTGAAGTGGCATCAGTGTCAATGCCTTTTTTTTCCTTTTTTTTTTCTTCCTCTTTCTTCCTAAAATCCCCTTATTCCCAGTGAGTTAGATGTCCTCTGTTCTGAGCACTTGGGGATGTATAATACATGTTGCTAGATAACATGAGCATTGCTCAGTCCCCAGGAATATTCTTGTAGTTGGGGTAAGCTGTCACAGGGTTGGAATTCAGTGACTGTTGTTAGCCGGTGCCTAAGCTTGGCTGTCAGTTATGCCATGCTGCTCAGTGGAGCGTGCCTGGACTGATAATGTGGCCATTGAGTGGGGTAACACTGTCACTACCACCCTGGATTCGGGAGACATTTTTTTCCGATCAGCTGTGGCTTACCAGCTGTTTTAAAATGAAGAGGGTCTTTACATCATATTAAAGTTTTATGTCATTTATTAGTGGGGATATTTAAACTTTTTCTTGCTTTACCACAGTGTTTGGAAATATTTTTAGAATCACAACCATCAGGAACTTCTCCCACGGTGTCTGACCTTTTCTCTACCGGGCTCTTATTGCTTGCTTTTGTCCTTGCTCCTTCCCTCTCACCCTTTCCACCTGCCTGTTTGTTGTCGCACTGCTCGGAAGGCTTACTGTGTGATATACATTTTAATCATCTCATCATGCACATGGAGAGCGGCTCGTGAGCGTCGGATAGATGGAAGTTTATTAAAGGAGCACTGATCACTATCACCTCCACCCCACTCAACCCCTCCTGAAAATGGGCTTATTGATTTTCTTCACAGGGGGAATAACAGCCTGGGGTGCTGACTTGGTTTAAGGACCGTGTTGTTTGATCATTTACACAGTCTGATTTAGCTGTCGGAGTGAAGTGGGTGAATCTGCATCAGATGGTAGTTTTTCAGCTTTGATTCCACGTTGTGTTGCTGAGTTCTAATCAAATCATCAAATGTAAGCTGATGTAGAGCGCTGCTATCCCATCAAGGGAAAATAGCCTTTTTTAACGAAATTGTGATATTTTATTTTTGTAATCTGAGTATTATTTCAGGTAACTGGTTGAAGGATTGCAGCAAATCAAATTAAGTCAGCCATATTTAAATACAAAGTTGTTAGTGCTTACAGTGGAATGTTGTCCACTTTTTTTTCCATTTTAACGTGACAGCATGATGGTTGCTGCTGATGAGGAGCTGCTAACCACAATTCTGCCTCAGTGTGTTGTAGCTCCATTATTGAAGTGTCAGCTCATTGTCCAGTGAGATCATTTTCACTTCACTCCTCCTCACAACATTCCAAACAGTGGGGCAGACTTGCGATGAAATGAGTGCACATGGATCATGAAAATGATAACATGAACACATGAAAAGAGCAAGTACAACTAATGTTCCCTCCAGATTAATGAAAGTAGTCACATTTGGCATTCAGCGTTTTTCTCTTTGCGCCTTTTCAGTGTTGTGGTTTTGCTTGGCAGCCTGCCAGACATGGTGAGATGAGACTGTCTCAGTTACAAACGTTGGTGTCGGCATGAGAGTGTAGTTAGTCGTATTTGAGCCCTTGAATGTTCACGGTGAGACCCCCAGGTTGATTGATGACTTTGGATTTCACATTGTCAAAGCTCTCATGCATAGATGTGCCTATCACTTGCTTATTTGGGGAACGTGTTAAAAGTTGGTGGCAAGAGCCTACTTGAAAAACATTCCAGAAGTTAAAGCCAATTAGTGACTTCACTCTGCTTCTAAATACAGCCAGCTCCTTATCTTCGGCTGAGCGTACACCGACTCCGGCGCATTCTGCTCTTAGGCCTCTTATGCACCAAACCCACGTCAGGAACAAGTGTCGACAGCAGACACCCCTGCAGTGTCTGTGCACGGTGTCGGTGAGAAAATTGCTCGGCAAAATGCACAGCGAGGCCAACTGCCAACCACAGTGTATGTGTGCACAAGAAGGCCCGCATTAGCAGTGTGGTGTGGAGCACAAGTTTTTTTATAGGATTTAATTAAATACATTTATTTTGTGTTCATCCTAAACTAATTCTTGTCTGCTTTTATGGAGAAATCAAGCATTGTCTTTAATTACTTGATCGTGATCATAAGATGAGAGTTCTTTCACTTTATGGATAAAGGGGTCAGAATGATCTGTCACTGATCAACCTGAGGTTTGACTTAACAGCTGATCAGCTGAGAAAATTTTGACATGTTGTCCTCATACACCTTCAAAGACCAGTTGATTAATTGGTTTTAATTGCCTTACAAAAAGCAAATGGTGACTAATACTGTAAACATGTCAGAAAACACCTAATAGCAAAAGTATAATTACTGAGCATGTAATGATAACTTGCAAAACAGCTTTCCTCTCACCCCGCACACAGTGCAGAGCACCTTTATGCTTGAAAAAGATCAGTTTGACACACTGGAAAGTAAACAAGTTAGACAGTTTTCTATTATTTCCCATAATGCAAAATGGCAGTCCGAAGTTTAAATCTGGCTATTGTGTCTTTAGGATAAAATTTAAGATTTACTGTCTCGCTCATGATTTGAGAGTACAAAAGCAATTTGTGTGCTAGGTCAACTGTGCAGACCCGTCCGCCATAAGACAAAGCGTTGGGCTAAATGCACCAGACAGGGAGCCTTTTGTTGTGTTTCTGTGGGCATATCCACCCGATCCGGGCAAGGAAAACGTAGTTGACTACAGACTCCTGTAAATCTCAAAGGATTACTTCTGACACTGAGCATGTGAGAGGGGATCATCTGACTCAGTTCAGACACATCATATCCTGAAAAGCACAGCAACTGAAAGACAGCAATATTTTAGCTTACGATATAGGACACAGTTTATGCGATGACTTGATTTTAAAGCCCTGCACACGTGTTCCTTTTTTCTCTCCTTCCCAGGTGAGTCCATGCGGCAGGCCTCCGGAGAGTTTGCCGAAGACCCCTGTTCCTCTGTGAAGAGGGGCAACATGGTTCGAGCCGCCAGGGCCCTCCTCTCTGCTGTTACCCATCTGCTGGTGCTGGCAGATATGTCTGATGTCTACAAACTTCTTCTGCAGCTTAAACTGGTGAGATGATTCAATTCCTCTGCACATTATTGATTTAAAAAAAAGAAGAAGCAAAAACTAGATTATAAAGAAATTGAATTATGTGCTAGGTGTTGTGGAGGATGTTGTTCCCCCGTGCAAATATGCAATTTATTTGCTGAAAACTAAAGAATAGAGGAATAACCAAGCAACAAATCAACTACCTCTTTAACCAGTCCCTCTGAGGGGAAAAATTAAATGTTTATTTGTGGCCCATATGGTCTCCGTGCTCTGCTTTGCAGCTTGTGTGAGCTTGGTGTAGGGCACATGAAGCAGTACTCCACCTGATGGAGTAAAAAACCTGGAGTGGCCCTTGAATTGAGCAGAACAAGGGCTATTGTTATTGGCTGTGGTCCAAGAGTGTAGCATACAGTTTCCTGTCACAGGGATGGATCAGAGAGGCAGCTGAGCACAGAGGAGCTGCTGCAGCATCAGCCTGCTCAGTCTCAACACTGATTCTAACGGCATAAAGAGCCCAGGCTTTTGGAATACCTTTTGCCTTTGTGCAAGGACTCCAGTCCCTCACCTGTTCTGCTTAAGTACTGGTGCTGACAACTAAGATTTATGGGCATATCTTTTAAGTTAGCTTTTTGATGTCATACATTGTATGTTATATATCTATCCTGAGAGATTTACTGATGAATGACTGAAATTAAGATGATGTATTTTTCCCCGCTCTTTTTCCAGGAAGGCCAAAAATAAACCTTCAATAACAATCTCCTCCTTTTTAGACAGTTTTTTCTTTCTGTGGGGTAAATCTCTAATCTCTGTTTTTAATAACTGGCCTTCCAAAAGAGTCTAGTCATTCCTGAGAGAATATCCCTCACATTAGACTGGTTTGAATTTACTCATGGGATTTGAAAATCTGTCTTTTTTTTATTTTTTATGTTTTTTTAAAAACATTTCTTTTCATCTTCCTCAGGTGGAGGACAGTCTGGTAAAAGTGCGCAATGCAGGTACAGAGCAGGACCTGGGAATCCAATACAAGGCCCTGAAACCAGAAGTAGATAAACTGAACATCATGGCTGCCAAGAGACAGCAGGTAATGTATGCTAACACAAAAGAGTTTCTTGGTAAACCAAATTTGATATGTTAGATATGAGGTCCACAACCCTCAGAAAATATTGTATTTAAATCAGAGGGGTACAATGAAGAAGAAGAGGGCCATGTGTTTAAGCCACACAGTTATATTCACTAAACACCAGTAATCTTTCTATCACTGGTTCCAGTTAAGCAGGTTTTGATAAAGGAATATTAAGACTTAATTCTGAGGACTTTTCATTGTGGAGAGTTTTGTACGTCACACTTTAATGTCTATGGTGTAACAGTTAGCACATAAGTGCCAAAGAACGAGTATGATTTTTTCCCCCACTATCTTTGTTGTGTTCACTTTAATTAATCATTGTGTTTTTCACATTTAGTTGTACTGAATTAAACATTTTTCTCTGGGTATCGTTTCATTTATTTATTCTGAAGCACTTGGTATCACTCCCTTTTGCTGAAGAGTGATGTATATGTGTCCTTTTTTAAAACACTTTTCCTAAGCAATAAAAGCTGTGCCTATCAGTGTAATTCAGTCAGGACCTTACTCTGATGATGGCAGGAAATGAAAAGTGTGTAACAACAACCTGTTTTAGACATCTTTTTGCCACATCTGCCCATAATTCTGTTTGATAAACATACTGCTGCTGATTAAAAAAAAACATCAAATAGCTAAGTTATGTACATTTTGCAGCGATGAAGAGAATTTGTTGGAACACAAGCATTGAATGCAATGCGTTCAATTGCAAATACACTTTATCATGGCCTGATTATGTCTCTGTTTTGTTACCGCAGGGGACAGAAATAAATCTAGGTCATCCATAACAAACTCGTACTGTCTCCATATGGGAATGACAGTCGCATTTTGAATTGAAAGTACACAACCTTTTTTTAATTTTATTTTTTTTAATATGTTCCGCCTTCCTTGACACTGTCCCCCTCTTGTCATTTCGCCCTGCTAGGAGCTAAAGGACGTCCATCATAAGGACCAAATGGCTGCCGCCCGTGGGGTGCTCCAAAGGAACATCCCCATGCTGTACACGGCGTCCCGGGCCTGCCTGCAGCATCCTGACGTGGCCGCCTACAAGGCGAACCGTGACCTGATCTACAAGCAGCTGCAGCACGCCGTCTCCGGCATCTCCAACGCCGCCCAGGCCGCGCCCACCGAAGACCCGGCACTCAATCACCCAGCAGGAGGTGGAGAACTGGCATATGCCCTCGACGGTTTTGATGTAAGTAGCCATCTTTTTTTGCGACCCGTTTGATCTTGATCTATTTGTTTTATCAGGACTCTAATATCACATCTGCTCTTCAATAGTTGCTGATGAAAGGACAATAAAAATGGAGAATAGGGGAGACTTTATAGAACTAAGAGATCTAGCATAGCTGACTCATAAAATGACTAAAGCCTTAAGTGGCATGAACTCGAGGTGAATATTTGGACCTGTGAAGAATGTGGGACATGGCTTTGGGGTAAAATGAGGATGCTTATGAATCAGTGCCTTTTGAAATAGCTTCTGTTTCAAACATTCCTAATGTAATAACATGCTTTCGCCTTTGAAACTTTGAAACTCATATTACTTTCAAAGAATGTTTTCATTAAAGTATGATTAGAGATTAATTAAACTAAATGATTTATATAGAGGAAAGGGTTATAAGGTATATGAAATATGTGACAAAATATGCTTGGTGTTGACGTGAAATAAAATGTCACATTAATAGAAGGTTTACTCATGCAGCCAATCATCCTAATGCCACCTGGGGTGATTAAATGGTTCTATTTGCTCCTTAATTGTCCTTAACATCTTTTACTTTTATGTCCATGGTCAGACATGGTCCATTGTGACAAATTGAGCTCAGTACAGACATAGGTTTTCATTCGCATTACTCATCGTTTAATTATTTTCTGACATGTGGTTTTTACTTTGTGCCGATGGTAAAACTTATCCGTTTTAACATGTCCCTGCTCAAAAAAAAAAAAAAGATTTGAAAAAATGTGTTAATTAGTAGGTACATTATTTCAGCTCAGTAGCTGACCACTTCCACTTAGGGATGGGAGGTCACAAAATTCTGTTCGACTTTTTCTCTCGAAAGAAAAGGGAAATTACGACGGAGGCAAACATTATAGTTAATACAATTGAAATATTAAACGTTAACCTTAGACTTTCCTCCTCCCAAATTGTCAAACACATCGTCAACATTCTGCCAGGGAATAACTCATTACTTTCAAATGTGCTGCGCTTATTCCCATTTCCTGTTGCAATTGTAGCCTTATCAACTGTGACAGGATGAAATTATTTAGTGACAGAACTATAAAAAAATGAATGTACAAAAAAAGTGACTGATGTACAAAATGATGCAGTTGCTGAGGCAAATCCAACAGAATTAAGTAATGATGGAAAGATGTGGGTTATTGTCTCAACATTAGTTGAAGGGAAATGGAAAAAAATGGATGTACCCACACCTTCCTTGGAGGTTTGGACGGCTCGGGGAGCAAACCTTTGGCCAAATTCAAATTGGTGAGACCTTCACATCCCACACACGTGTTAGAATGTGTAAAAAAGTATCAAAGACGCCAAAAAAAATTATGCATTGTAAGTTTTCTGAAGTAATCCGTCGCTTGGCAACGCTGTTGCCAAGCAGTAAATCAATAATGTTGGTAGAAGCTGCCCATCAAACAGCACTGCTCTCGTATATGACTTCATTTGGTGCATTCTGTTTACATGGATTACATGTTTGAAAAACAGTTAACTGAAATGAAAAATATGACTTACAGCAGATCCGAGAAGGCTTGCACGGAACAATCTAAGCCACATCCTGTCTGTGGTCTCCAGTGAGCTTAAATTGGAAGTAAATAACCTAAGTTGGAGCCCACTGAACAATCGGACAACAAGAGCAGCATCTTTGTTATACACATCCCTATTGTGTTATTCTACTGCAAAAGAATCAAAGCAGGAAATAGAGCAGCAGACGTACAACAGAGTCAGGGCTTTGGCAGGAAAAGTTGTCTGGTTTTTGTTCCCAGTTACAGAGGTGACACTCTGAAAATGATGCAACACAGAAAGAATTTCAGCTGTTTTGACAGAAGAGTATGTGGTATTTTGCATCCCAGCTGAATCTATCGCCCTGCAGTGCATTCTCTCCTTTGATGGAAAAGCACTGCAACTTAGATGATTAGAGGCCTGGAGATTTTAGTTAAGTGTAATTCTTTGCAGGAATGTTCTTAAAATTCGCTATGCTTTGTTTGGATATTTTTTGTCCCCAAAAGAAAAAGATTGGCCTCATTACCTTTTTGAACTGTTTTTCCATAGTTATATGCAGTGCAACTGTTTCTACTCAGACTTATATGTAAATGTCTATGAGGACATGTTTTTCTTTCTTTTCCTGTTGCTCCAACCATCAACTTTTAAGGTTTAAAATGTTACACTGTATTATTTTTGCCTCTTTTTAATTTAATATTACCAGTGAGAATCAAAACCTGGTTCATTACACCTCTTGTACGTTTAAGGATAATAAGTAGGCTTATGGCTGCTTCGAGACTAGGAAACTAAGTATAAAGTTATGGTCAAGACTTGCTGCATTTGTTTCTTTAATGTGGACATCCAGTTTAACTTTTTTGTATATTCTTGGGTTTATAGCCATAATTTCACTGATGACTGACCTCTGGGAATTTTTAATCGAATTGTTAATTTGTATTAGAATAAAACTAGAAAACTGAAATGGACCCTCTCTAGTATACACCTCTGATTCACACTTTTAAGTGCTTGGCAAAATTAGCAAATGAGTCAAACCCCACTGCTCTCTCCCTCTCGGTTTCCTCTATCATGTCTTTCTTGTGTGCCTGTTGCCATGGTGATATGACATGCAAGCAGAGGAGGTCAGATGAGACAAAGTAGAGGGGGCTGGAGGTGGCTGTGACAGCGGGCGGGCTGCCGAATACGCCGCATTCTTAACAGCTGAATTTTTAACTATCGTTTATCTCATATCTGCTCCCCTGTAGACGTGCAAAATCCATTTGTCATCTGGGAACCTGGCTTTCTTTCTTTGCCTGCTCTTGCCATCATCATGTTTATACTTTTTCCACTCTGCAGGGCTCCAGCAGCATGGCAACTAGCTACCCCTCAGCAGGCCTGCTCAAGTGAATTGAGATGTTTAAGTGTCCTGCAGATGTGTGTGGAGGCGATAGCTGATTTGTAGTCGTGTAAAACTTTAGACACCTCTCTTTCTTTTCATCTTACTGTTTTAGGAAAATAGTAATGGATGTAATGGTGGCTTCAAGTGCTGTGATTATTATAGGTTGTTTTACTTGCACATATTTTTTAAAAACCCTTTTCCAAGTATGATTTATTTATTTATTAACTTTTTCTTATGGTGTCAGATGATTTGGAAGGCTGTTCCCTAAGGGTTAATTTTAATTTCTTTATGTAACTTAAATTTTACCATCCCCGTACTGTCAAATTAGTTTTCACCACACACTCCCTGTGACAATAACCCACTGGACATGTTCTTAATTCGATCCAATCCAGCTTCATTTATGAAGCACTTTAAAACAACCACAGTGGACCTCGGAGAGCTGTACATAAGAAAATAGAATTAAGAATAGAATACAAAAATATATGAAACATTATGAAACGGTTGTACCAATAAAACAATAATGATGAAATAATAGATAGGTATACATACATCTCACAACTCACTTAATATTTACTTTTTCCTTAGATATAATTCTAGAATGCTTTTACATTGCCGACATTGTTTATATGCTAACTTGTATTTCTTTCTGGAGGACAGCATCATGAAGGCATAATTTAACACAGCATCCTTCCAGGTTGTGTTTGTCCGTAAACACTTTGGCTAGTTTAAATTATTTCAGACTGGTTTGCAGAAGTCAGACTTTCACATTTGGACCTTTCTCATTGGCAGGTTAATTCTTATCGTGGTTTAAAGAAAAAAAGATTATTCTTTTTAGCTGTTGCTTCCAGGTTTAGCCCCCCGCCAATCAGATGCTACTGGGAGGTTGTGCCCACTCTTGCAGAAAATTAGCATGTGAATTCAGATGCTGTGTCCTCGTCAATGCCAGTCAGAGCCAGAGTTGATTAATGCCCACGTCTGCAGCTATTTGATGCAGGACTGAATGCCAAATAGACCTTTACCCACTGCACTCAAAGGCACTTACCAGTTCTTTTGTTCTTTATTCTGTTATTTTGGTTTCACCAAAATTGTCATGTTGTCGATACTTTAAATGAATTTTACATGCATCTGTTTGTTTTTTTTGCTTTTAATGAATGATCCAAGCCATTTGTTTTACATGGCGTCTTGATTGTCTGATTATAGTGCAATGCAAGTTTTGTCATGCTATAAAATTATTGAGGTTGAAGAATGTAAAGTATAAAGTATATTCTTCCCTTCCAGGTAGACATCCCCTCTCTAATCAGATCTCTCTCTCTTTGAGCTTGAATAGGAACCAATCACTGCAAACTTTTTTTTTAAAACACCTCTTTCAATGTTCCTTTTCATCCCTCCTGACAGAAACAAATAATTGTGGATCCCCTGGCGTTCAGCGAGGAGCGTTTTCGTCCATCGCTGGAGGAGCGCCTTGAAAGCATCATCAGTGGAGCTGCCCTCATGGCTGACTCCTCATGCACACGTGATGACCGCAGGGAGCGCATCGTGGCTGAATGCAATTCTGTGCGCCAGGCTCTTCAGGACCTTCTGTCTGAGTACATGGGAAATGTGAGTGGCTTAATTTTGAATTCACTTTAGTTTATACCGCCTGGTCTTAGGGCTGTTGATTTATTTATTTTTTCTTTTCAAGACATTTCAAGACTACAAATAGAGAGATAACGTATGTGACTACCTTCTCATTTGCTGCACAGGCTTCCAAGAGTATCCTATCCTTTACTTGATATTTTACGACAATTTTAAGATTTTTACATTCCAAATGAACAGTTTACACAGTCAGGTTATGAAAAGTGATACATGTAATGATTAAACCTGAACAATCATTAAGTCTCCGCACTTTGTCCTATAAGATTATGGGTTAGGTCCACAATGGAGCACTGTCGCCTAATGGTACCTTTCTTTTTTCCTTCTTTGTGATATATGATTGCTGCTTTGTGTTTCCAGCTCCACTTTAATTGATATTGGTTGGTTTTTTTCTAACTATTTATTGGAGCCCTGAATCTAAATTAAACCTTGGCACAGCTGCACGGTGGAGCTGAACATGGTAGAAACAGTACGGCATGTTCCTCCATTTGTCATTCACTGATCATACATGTGAGATATTTGTGGAGTGGCACAATCTTGACAATAATTGGTGACATGGTTAGTGTTTCCCTTGGTGCACATAGCCTAAATCCACAGACACATTTTAAGTTGTGGTGAAGTTGAGTGCGGGGTCTGACATCAGGCTCTCTCTATCTGAAAGCCTCCATGCCCACATATTTTAAAAGGAAAAACAAAACTGAATGCCACAGTGCAAAAAAATTCTACCTGTCTATCTGTAAAGGAACAGCGAAACGGTTAACTGCTGCTTCTCCTGTTTTTAGTCACCTCTTGTCCCGTGTAATTGGCTGCAGAGCTATTGCAACATTTAGCAAGCTCCTGCTCTTTTTTGCTCTTGCTCATCCTGAGCTTTTTTAGAAGAGTAGAGCTATCTCGGCCTCGAGCAGAGGACTGTGAAAACAGATGTTGGGCCAGCAGGATGTCAGTTAGTTCTTACCACTCAGGCATGTTTAATTGCTTTGGTCGCCATATTTGTATAGGGTTATGAGCAGCAGAGTTAGCCCGTTTCACTAGGAATGTGTTGAAAAGTTAATGGTGTAATTAGCTTAGTGTGGATTTGGTGAGGCGGTGTGTTATAAGTTCATATGTCAACCCATCATACAGCTCATTAATCGTAACAGTGGGAAATAATGTAAACTAATTTATTCGTCATTTTTAGGCCAATTGCAATGTGTGTCAGTTCTTTGTGGACATGTGAAGTTTGTTCTGTGGTCCTTTGCACGGCCGTTGGACCAGGATAACGTATACAGTGTGCCGCTGAGCACTGCCTGTCATGCATCATGGCAGTGAATTCTGTAAAGTAGCTCCTGTAGGATTTTACAAAAGTGCAGGACCAAAAGCATAACTTCACTTTCAGACATGGTTACAGCAGTCTCATCTGGCTGACATGTCCAGCATCAAAAGGTTTAAATGGCTTTGCTTGTCAAGTATAGCAGCATATGAATTCCAAATGCCATGCTTTGTTCCAAGCTTGTGTTCTGTTAATTTCCATCATCTCTGTTTTACATGTATACAACAGTTTGCAACGGTCAAATCCGAGTGTAATACGCGTCTTATTGGTTTGGTCGTCATCAGCAGCGTCGCTACAAGCCTGTGCTTGTGTTTTTAAAAAGACTGGAGCTTTCCTGTAAACAGAACTTGAAGGAGCTCATGCTGCACACTTCTTCCCCAAAAAACGATTTTCATAGTAGGGCTGTGCAAAGAAAGAATGAAAGGGGGTTCAGAAATATCCACCATTTTCACACACGGAAAAAAAAAGATATTTTCAGAAGGAGGTTGCAGACGATCTGCTCTGGACTTTCTCTGCATCTGCTGTTCACACAAGCACATCTCAGCAGGAGTCCTTCTGCTGTAGCAGAGGAGTGCTGTCGCGGCTGGAAGTGCGAGGGAGGGCTTGCATGAGAACAGACGTATAGGGCACACATGAGGCAGAAATGACATGGTGAAGTCTCTGTGCTTTCTTCACATTGTGTAAAGAATAACTGCTTAGGCTCCTCATATTGATAAGATTCCATTTTTACTAGCACGTTTCCATAGCTAGCAGCCTGAAGGTCAACAGACATGAGAAACAGCTCAAATTCAAACACACACACTGCGATTTGTCCGTACTGTGTCCCAAACATCAGCATAGCTTTGGTTTGCAAAAAAAGAAACGTATTACTTATGTTCATGTGTTTAGCAGATGCGCCAAAGCCACTGACAACACATTTACAGATGCAACGCTGCAGTTGTAGGTCATGGTAGGCCAAGCCTAGGGGCTCCTACTGGATTGGTGCCAGGGTCAGGATTTAAACCCCCCAAAAGCATGTGTCAATTTGATAAAGGGAAACGGCTGAACAGTGGTGCTGCACACAGCCAGCATTAGTGTGAAACACTCCAATTATGAGTTATACTCGTGCAACAAGTCATGCAACGTAAACATGAGACTACTTGGCAGCCACGGAAAGCTTTTAGTCAGGATGAACTCTTGTGCAAATGGCTTCTGACATGAGAGCTGTTGTCTTTAAGGACAAATTCAGTTCAGTGTCAAATGAGTTGTTATCAGTGTAATGACACCCTGGGAGTGAAACACGGCCCAAACGGTGTCAAATCGTTCAGCATCACGCTGGAAAAACTTCTTTTTAATGGGTTGTTTTATTTTTTTTTGTCAACAAATCACTTCTAAACTGATCACAACCCCTATATTACAGGCTGTGTGTGTGTTCTGTCTTTTAATTAGAACAAAAATCCCGACTTTATCATTGTTGTTGTTGTCTGCTTCGGCTGACAAAGTTCTCTCTAAAGACCTATGGATGTGACATGGCGTTGCTGCCCTGGTCCGGTCAGGACGTGGCCAGTTTATTTTAAGCTTCGGGCTGTTCATGCGAAAACTCTGGTTTACCTCAAAACAAGTTTTCCACTTGGCTGGAAACCTGTGTGACAGTCGTGTCTCCTGTTTTTGTATCTCGAACTCGCAGTTCCAGAACAACACATCTCACTAGCACAGTGATGATGAGTGGACATGACAAAAATATAACTCCTCATTTGGCCAGATGAAGAAAACAGATGAGAGGCATTATGGCATTGTCTGTCGTCTTCATTTAATGGCCTAATGCTTTCTCTGAGAGCTGTGACATACGACGTGCAGTTAGTCTAGTGAGAGAGGGGGTGTCTCCACCCGGTACCTTTAAACCACTGATATATCATGTGACAGGTATCTTGCATCTGTTATTAAGCTTGACAGACTACCCCAACCTCACTCCAGTTTACCGATATATTTTGGGGAGAGCAGTACAGGTTCAGTAAAATGTGTATTTTCTTGTTTCAAAGCGTTTCCAAAATTGAAAATGCTCTGTGGTGGTGCTCGGGTCGACGGTGAAAGGAATGGGCCACGATGTGAAATTCATGCCGCAGAAATGGAATCGTTTTGTGTCTGGCACAGAAGATTTTAAAACTCTGTAGAGACTGTCATTGAAAGTCACAAAAAAAAAGTCATAAGATAAAATTTGCTCTAGTGGTGAATGCATTTAGTAGTAGGCAAAAACACTCCCGTGAATAGTTGATTAGTCTGCGTGTAGCTTCCAGAAGGTATTCTGCATCTGCTACAAAGTGAAGGGCTTTTTAAAAGAAAGTACAGCTAAAAAACAAACAGATTTGTGGTGCCGCACATGGTGTGGTTTCTGATGATAAAAGTAACTGGTGGGGGGGCTAATAAGCTCTGTTTCACTTTGAAACAACGTAGAATCTTCTCCCATTAGGTTTCAGAGCAGCGCTGGCATGTTTTCTATTCAACAAAACATTTTTTTCCCACGTGGCCCTGAGTTATTCATGTGTTGTTTTAAGTTCTTCTTTTGAACTTTTCAACCTATCCATTTCACTTTTCACAGGAGAGGAGTGGATGCACTCTGTGTGTGTGTGTTAGTACAAACATAGTAATTGTTGAAGCGGAAGTGGAACACAGGAGTTCTTTTAAAGTCCTTCACAGACCCCTTGTTGATGATGGCGAACAAGAAACGGGTACAGGCATCACTGGATAAACGGAGCCCACGGAAACGCGTGCCTGTTGTGAGCATTTTCACCACATCAGCAGAAACTTTGAAGCACGCTGATTGGTGCGTCGTTTCCACCCCACCCCCTAGGAAACTGTACAATGTTGATGATCATTTAACAAGACTGGCGCTTGTCTACTTGCCTGATGAGGTGGAAAGGCAGGTAGGGGGTGGGTAACCACACGCGACGTAACCTCAATTATTGTATACCGTGATGACAGTTTGGCACGTGTTGAGTGAAACGCTTTTTTTTATTAATAATGCATCTCTTGTTTGTGGCATCTGTCAGGGTTTCTCTGGTTCGCAGAGTGATGCTTTGACGCACACAGCTACTGACGTTTAAATGTCTCCAACTCAAGGCGATACGCGATCATTTTCATCTGCCTGAAGAGAACATACCTGCCAACTGCTGCGGGGGTCCCCTCACTTCCCCTTTCCTGTCCGGCCCAAAGCGCTCACCACTTGGCACTCCTTAACATTTCATGTCCACTTTGACATTTTGCTGGATCCTGTGTGGTCCTCCGCTGTCTTTGCCTCGCCATTTGTCCCTAGCTCGGTTGGTAGCTCACTCTTTTCCTGACTCCCGCTATCATTTCTGCCTTGGGCACCTCCTGTGAGAAGCTGAATTTACTTGGCTCTATCCAGTTTTCTTCGTGCCTGCACTGTGATGTCTCATCATGACTACATTCTTGTTTGGGTTTTTGAGTGATTATTCCCAAACACCGAATGCCTGCCTTATATAGCCAGGAGCCCATATAAGCATTTTGAGTTATTCAGATTGTTATTGGTTTTCGTGCTTTTAATCCTCCTAGTGCATCATTGGAACCTCTACGAGGGAACAAGGAGTGACGTGCACGTGTTTGTGAGGGACAGCCAGGAGCTGGGGGGAGGCTCCGGCCAGCACCCAGCTCTGTCTGTTCAGGGAGGGTTCTGTAGCCGCTCTTGTGTGTCACTTTGAAAAACTGGAAAGGAATTCCACACTTGGTTTATGTCTGAGATAGTGTAAAAATCATGAATTCCCTAGATTTTTTTAGGCTGCTGTCAGTGTGATCTGGGACACGTTGACACGATCCAGGAAGCCTTCCACACAAAACTCACAGCCCAGTGACGCTCAAAGTGAGGTGACAGAATTAGAAGGTCAGCTGACGGACCAAAATGGCCATCACACCTTATTAAGCCTTCGTAAATTGTCTGCGAGTCTCTTTCCCCTCGGATGACGGATAGAAAATGTTCAAAACGTCACTGGTTTTACGGTAGAATTGTGTCAGCCACCCGACTCAAATCACAACAAATGAGCCCCCCCCTTCTTGCGCTGCTGATGAATGTGAATGTGTTGGGAATGATTAGCTGTGCAGCTCTGGAGCCTCAGAAAGATTGCTGCTGGCCCAAATCTGCGGGGGCTGTTTGAAGTGAGCGTGTTTCCTTGCCCCTTTGGACACTGACTCCTTCACACTGTAGAAACAGGTGCGATCATCACCACAGCAAATATGGAACCGTGGCACTTTCGAATTTTGCGTACGTTTTCAGAGGATAGCACCAAACTCATTTGAGGAAAGATAGAGGGGGTTCACACACACTTGGCTGTTGAGAATGTTGCAGGCGTCTGTGATGGTGTGTTTCTCTGGTCATTTTGGGCTGCTCAGTCAGCCTCATTTGCTGACATATCTTGTATGAGCCATCTCTCAGTACGGCTGTAAGAACTGGATAGTCTAACAGAGAGTTAAAAACACAAAAGGTCTTTGTCTGGTTAAGTGGTGTCAGCATCTTTTTTTTTTTCCTTTTACATTAAATCCCTGTTCTGTTAACAAGACAGAATGTTTCAAAGAACTGCTGCACGACCAGTGTCACAGCACTTCGCTTTATCTATTTGTAATCTCATCTAAATTCTCTAAATGATTAATTAAAACAAATTACACACCACATAGTGTAATGGGAAAAGATTTAGTGTCCCCAAGGCTTTACATAAATTTACAGCCACCATAAAACACTGGTCTGTCAGCAACTGCTTTTCAGCAGCGTTTCTCAGACATGGCCCTTGATCTTTTACTGGTGAGCTCTGGGCTTTTTGATTGGCTTTGCCAGCAGGTAGATGAGTTGTAGTTTTTGTTCTCTTTTGTTTTTTTTTCCAGTCACGCTGGAGTCCAGCGAGCCTCTATTCACAGTTGCACTTGTTTTTTGTTTGCTCTGTCACCTTTTTTATTTAATTTTTTCGGTTGTTGAATGGTTTCAGATGCACTGACAGTTTTTGGATGGCAAGAAATTGTTGTATGCAAACGCCCTCACACTGTCATCTGCAGTATTTTTCTTTTTCTATTCAGTTTTACCCCCATAATTTTCCACTTGGATTGTCACAGTTTTGTCTGCCTGAAAACGGGGAAATGAGTTAAGGTAGAAAGCGATAATAAGTTGATATAGCTGTATTTGGTGATAGAGATGACCTTTTCTATTAACCTCATCTGTTATCAACACTTTGCTTTTAGAAAATTCAACAGACGGATCTCTTTAAGTTACCAGAGCTCAGAAGCTCTGAGCATTCCGTCTCTTTTGGCGTTGCAGTCAGAATAAAACCATCAGTTCCTGAAAGTCTGTCTTTAGTGGGTCACCAAATGTTGCCAAAGAAAACCTGGCATTGTACATCATTATTGGTGATCAAAAATGTGAAAGATGTTCATACCATGTGCACTGAGGCGTTCACATGCTGTCAGAGATATAGTTTTTTTTTTTGGTTTGTTTAACTGTACACGTAAAAAAAAAAAAGAAGTGATGGTTTAAGTTGTGTGAAGACCTGATAAATTTTCGTCGGCATAAACAAACACATATAATAGATCCTCTCTTTGTTTCTTACTTACACATATGAACATCTGTCCTTTAACTACAGTTAGATTAATCAGGGAATCATCATTCAAATGCCCTGATTTGAAAAAAATATATCTCTACCGTAACAAACAACCACACTTTTTCAGTTCCGGTAGTTTCTTCTTTATACAAGCTGACTGATGCAACAGAACATGACCCTCGACACAGCTTTTTGATTATATGATGAAATAAAAAAAAAAAAAAAAGGTTTGCTTCACCCGTTTCTGTGAAATGTTCCTTTTGAACCTAAACACCGTGTCCATTCCCCAGCTGTTAATCCCTGTTATAACATAACTGAGCTTTAAAGACACATTCAGCCGACTGCAGTGTTTACCGTGGACAGGTTGACCCTATATCGCAAGGCTAACACACACATACACAGGTTCACACCCACGTTAACGCCTTGGGGCTGCAGTTGTTTCCAGTTCATCGGATGTACATATCCTGGAGCCAAAGTAGAACTGAGGCACTTGTGAAAACATGTGCCTCAGTTCTACTTTCTACACGCATCCAAGAGGAGAAGCAGTCTTTTTCGGTTGAAAAAAACACACCTTTTAGTGCTTTTAAAACTAAGCTACCTGGTGTTTATTTAATTGATTGAACATTTTTTTTTAGATTTATTAATTAGAAATGAAACGCTGATCTTTGCTCTCACTCCAAACTAGGAATAACAGTTTGTGTGATTAGCCAAGTTTTAATGACGTTTTACTTTGCCATTACGACCAGCAGCTGGTGGTAGTGCAGTAGCACCCCGATACCACAAGGGGGCAGGCCAAATGACGGAAAATATCACTGTTATTAATGTATTTAAAATAATATTTTCACTCGATGCACATTTTCATTCTAACATACTAATTGTATGTTTTTAAGCGCGAAGGTTCTGCGCATATCCTAAAATTCTGAGCCAACACAGACATTAAAAAAAATACTTTGGCAGAAAACCAATAGCCTTTAAAAAAAAAAAAAAAAAAAATCCTACACTAAAGCAAAGTCAGTTTAATGGCTAAATCAATGTGGCACCATTGCCTTTAATGTATTTTTGATATCCAATTAACCAATGGTCATTACAATACTGAAGTTGGTCCAATACCCATTCCATATAGATGTCCTACATGTACTCATCAAGTTTCCATTCCCCAGTTTTAGCCTTGAGTTGAGCAATATATTCCCACTGCCGTCTGCACGTGACACTGTTAATTGCACTTCAGTGCTAAATGTTGAAGGCAACTGCAACTCTTTTTTCATAGCTATTGATGAACACACAGCCTATAAAGTTTATTCTTAGTTTAAGGTGATCAGAGGGCAGACACAGCTGTACAGTTGGATCAAAATATGGCGGCTCTTTACCTTAAAATGCCGATTGAAGCCAATGAGACACTCTTGAACCAGAAATTCATGATGATCTCTAAATAGTCTTTTTCTTTCTAAAGACTAATTAGAGAGGTATTCCACAGTCATTATGCCCCACTCAGAGCTGTAGCTATTTATAGCACCCACAATTACTGTAAATATGCACATATTGTGAACATTGCAGATGGGAAAGATTGAACTGAGGGGAAAAATCTTCCTCACAAATTGACAGCTGTTGTTTATTATGTCTCTTTCTCCCTCTTTTATCAGGGTTACTTTGCTCTTAAAAAAAAGCCTGAAGTATTAGTTGATTTCAGCCACTGGGACACGTTCTGTTCCACAAAATGCACATACATGAGTCACACTAAATGATACCTGAATGTTAAAATGTCTGTTTAGTCGCCTTAAAAGAGAAACTTGGGGCACAGTGTTCTACTCTGTCTGTGAGCATGGCGAGGTCATGACTCAACACACTCTGCTACTTGACCGCCCAGAATACAGATGCTTTAGATGGGAAGAAGGGAAGAGGCTTTCCAATGAGCTGCTATGTCCATAGGCCAGTTGCAGGCAGATGTTGAACCCCTGGCTTTGTATACGCAGGAGAGGGAGGAAAAAAGGTGTCTAGTTAGTACTTAAAGACAAAGTGGTGGAGGGCCTTTTCATCCTGCCTGTATGCGGCACCACTCAGACCATTGACCCCTGTGGACATTTGGACTTTGATATGCAGTTGTTAATCTATTATAAGAGATACAGAAGCCCTTTCTTTGTTGTTGTCAGAGTAAGGCAGCCCCTTGCTGTTGGGGTATTGGGCAGATAACTGCAAAAGTAGCCCTTTGATGGCCTGTTGCATCTTAGGTTGCCTTTCTGTTGTTTAAAGGTTTTCAATAATGCCTTTGCTTGTGTCCGAGCCATTTTGACTATCTGTTGTTCCTATCAGCCACTGAGCCCCCAGAAGCAAGAATGCTAGTCGAATAAATTGGAGAAATCTCCATTAAGACTGTTATTGGTCGAGGCAGCTATGGCGGTGTGAGCACCTGCAGAGCTCCAACAACCGGGAAAGCCTCCGTCACACCAGCACCACTTCCCATCCGTCTGACTGTGTCTGGGGATTTCTCCCCTGGCACCAACATTTTCAAATGTGACAAGGTTGGACATGGTAACTTTTACGTTGGACTTTAAACTCTCTACTGCGAATCTGCCATGTTGCATCCGTAAATAAGCACATCCTCCACATGGTCATTCGATCTAGAGAGATAAAGCAATTAAACTGTAACTATAATAGGTTTCCTAAGGTAAAACGGAACTTGTTCTTGGCTCAATTAATGTAGTATTTCCAGCTGCTTCCGTCCTCTACTGGTGTTTGTCACCACCACTGTGCTCTCAGTTTGCTAATCTAAATAGTTATGGCAACAGGACATGGAGCTGTGAGAGGTTATTGTGTTAGAGCCTTACGGCTGTGGCTGATGCACTTGCCTCCCATTAAGCACATTGTGAATGACAGTGTCGTGGGGAGCTGGTACGGGTTGGGATTCAGTAGTCTCGGTAGTATTGACAGTAATGTGATAAAGGCAAGAATAAAGCTTTGCAATAGTTGTCCTTGTATAATAATACCTTATAGTTTATTCTGGCCAGACTGAGTCTGACACAACAGGAGCAAACAGCGGGAAGGTCGAGCACACCGCTGCTCTCTTCCTGCTCCCTCCCTTTTAAGTGGCATTATTGTAGGCTACCTCATGCAAATACAGCTTTTGATACAAATTACTGCTACAATTCTAAAAAAGAAAAAATCGGGTTTTGCTTCATTTAAGAATCCCTCTGGGATTATTAAAGTATTTCTGATTCTGATTCTGAAAGGAGAAGAGAGCTTGATTCCTCTTAAGACTGAAAGCAGAGAGTGAATTCCTACTCTTAAATCAAAAACTCCTTCAGATTTGTGTTTGCCTCTCACACTTTTTAGCTTTCACCCAGTTTAGCTTTCAGCGGCGTTCTCCCCAGAGTGAGCTTTCACAGTTGAGACAAAACCTGTCATTCTTTAAGAAACAAAATCAGTACTGCAAATTCAAGTTAAAAATTTGACAACGTTCATTCTCCAATGATAATTGACTGCAAAGTACTTTATGAAAGCCTGATTCATGGCTTTGTGTTACTGAGGATGTAATTGTATAAAATCTTAGTAAAACTACTCACCAGCACAAGTGTTCTAGGATTTCAAACAAGAGTGAGAGTAATACTTTCTGACTGTTAGTGTTGGCAACATGCCTTTTCCACATTTAACTTTGAAAATCTGTCTCTTTTAGTTTGTTCAACTTGCCTGTAATGTGCACCGTTTGATAAGTATTTTCTGTTAAAAACAAGGAACCTAAAGAATGTGTAGGGGTTCATCTGTTTTCTCGTGAACCCACTTCATGAAACAGTACAGATGTGTATCGTCTCCCCAAGAAGGAGAAATGGCAGTACAATTATTTTTTTTTTGATGGGCAAAGAAGGGAAAAAGATCCCCCAAAATGACATTGTGACAGACGTTTTACGTCTGCTGCTCTGTAATTAAATTCACCCCAGTAGACTTGAGAGTTGCACAATAAGAAGCTAGCAAAGCGTTCCTGTGAAAGATATCAGTCAACAATCTGAGGAACTTTGTCATCATCACATTGTTGTGACTCAGATAAATGCAGCTGGCATTTGAACACTTGAAGCTGTCGCGGTTGTTAAATGTAGTTATATCTGCTTTTAATTGCTCAAATATTTTGTCCTTTAAACTGCCATGCAAAGGGAGCACATGACAAACTGTCAAGTGTTCCGTATTTGACTCTACAGTTAATATTAAAAACCTTTTTTATATTAGATAAACCGAGCATATAGTCTAATTCTTTTGAAAGGTCCTAGAGCTTTAATGTTGTTGAACATCTGGGGTGATTAGCAAAGATCTTCATTTTCAGCAATGGTTTTCTGAAATGTGGCTTTTTTAGAAATTTAAAACCAATAAATAAATTAAAGCTAATAAATACATTTGTGAAATGGCTTTTAAACTCTCTGCAACTATGAAACTTTTATTCGAACAGTGTCATTTTTATCTAAAATTAGATTTCCCGGTCAGTTCCTTTAACACAGGGAACTGAATCACTATTTTGCAGTAACATATTAACTTAAACTTTCTAATGTTCGATTTAATGTAGTTTTTTCTTCTGTAAGCTGAAAATGAACACACTGAGGCAAAATAAAATGACAGACCACACCAAGATATCAGCGTACATCAGTTTGCAAACACTTTGTAAATTATAACCATTTTATTTAAAAAATATATGTTTTGAGGGGACAATGTTCTTTTTTTTTTTTTAGTTTGGCACATCTTATCCACTATACAGATATGAAATAGTACATATTACAATACAAAAGGAAAATGGGAAGAGAAAAGCATTCATTTTGCACAAAGAGGTTGGGGAAGAGAGTAGGGATTGGTTAATTAGTTTTTTCTCTTTTTTTTTTCTTTTTTTCCCCTTTTTTAATTTTTTTTTTTTTTCAGATTGGGATATAGGCTAGAGAATGACAAGAGGAAACAAAACAGTTTACAAAGAGCCAGAGTGCAAAGGGATGCATAAGTCTACAAACTGTGAATTGCCAGTCACTTGGTACAACTTTAGTCGTAAACGGTGAAATGTCAAATGATTGACAGAACCCTCCTGGAATTCCATATACATCCCCATTTCTATCAAAATGAGGTCTCCCCCTTAATGCTTGCTGAATGACAATAAAAAAAAATATTCAACTCAATTTGGAATTTTGAACATGCAAGACAGATTAGAAGGGCAGTAATAAAAGCAGTGCGTAGCTGGAGGAAAATTTAAATTAGGAAGTGGAGGTGCTTGGCATTGGAATTATGATCAGTGTATGCAATGTCTTTTCACTAAATTTAAACATGAAGTGGAACAGTTTTTGGTTTACATATGCAATTTTATCATCATATGAGCATTTGCTGAGACACTGACACACAAGCTTTCATGTAGGAGGTTTAAGCCAAATTTTAACACACTCGATAAGAGAGACAAAGCCACAAATGGTGCCTCCTGCCTTCTTTCAGCCCAAGAAATGCATTCTGATCCCCTGCAGTAATAAAATTCGCTAAAACGAAGCAGCTGGTAATCCAAAGAGGTGACCAAAGGTTGCGTTAAAAAGATGGGGAAGTTGGGAAGTCCAATGGCTGACGGGTATTGAAACAGCCCCCAATGTGTTACCCAGTGTTAATTTAAATCCCAACATACCGTCATTCACAGATCTTATTCTCTATTTTTTTTTCACTTGAGCAGAGGAATGCACATTGTTTTGAAGTTATCACAGCACAGTTGAACCTTTTCCTCCATCCTATCAGTTTCTGCCGGTCCCTCTCGCTTTCACCCTGCCCCCACGACCAAATCAAGCACAAAGAAGTGCGAAGCTGCTGCAGCAGCCTCAGTCTGATGCTAATGCACATCCACTCCCTCCTGCATACAAATGTGCCTTGACCCAAGCTTACTGTTTGCTTATCATTGGATCTCCATTTGCTTACAGGGGTATTGATCGCAGTTTAGCTTGACACTCGTTGGTCCAAACCCAGAAACAAATATGATATCTGTTATTCACTCTGAGTGCATTTTTCAGGCTGTTAATGACATTTTATAAAGAACTGGGTTGTAAAATAAATGGCTTGAAGAGGTGCTTTGTGTAGTGTTGAGGATGATTAAACCAGAACTATTTTTGTGTGATGGAAAAGCTAAAAGCTGCTGGATCGCTGGTGTGGGTGACAGAATATTAGATTCTTTTTGCCTTGCCTTAATTGGTTCAATCTTGAGCCTGTCAGTCCTGATTAGTGTGTAAGTGATAAAGAGCACGGGCTACTGAGACATTTTATTTTTAGAATAAAATGTTGTACTATTTGGCATTTCCACTGTTCACATCTCTCTCTTGCAACCCTTAAAACACAACAGTTTGTTTATATATCAGTCTTGGTATGGAAAATTAGAAAATTACATTTAACTAGGTTAAGCTGACAGAAATATGGTCACAGTTTGCATGGCATTTTGGAAATGTGCAATCCATATAGAGATATTTATACATTAAAATTCTGATGATTCTGCATGTCAGATGTGAGTTGTGACATCCATGAGCTTTATTTAACAGTGTAAACTGGACATTAACCACAGATGAACACTGCTCCATGTGTTCCGCAGGTTAAGAATTTATTAGCAGTGGTTGGCTCTTGTGAGCAATCGCTCAAACATCCAGCACTTTGTGTCAGCTGCAAATCAGCTTTGAATTTACGATATAACGTCAGATTATAGAGGTCAACTTCCCAATTAATATAATTCAATACATTTTCAGTACATGTTTTTAGTTTTTTACACAGAAAAGGATTTGGAAAAATAGAAATTTCAGAGAAAAACAGCACTTTGATCTGGCGGGGGTGTTATTTAATCAGCTCAAGTGATTGGATGTGAGTATTATATGTTTCCTTCTCCAAGAATAGTAATACTAAAGACCTTTGTTTTACATTTGGAATTTAGACTGAGATCATTCTTAGTGCTCTTTAATATGCAATTCTCCCACAAACAAATAGGATCTGTAAAACAGAACACTTGATTAATCACATTCTGCTGCCCCAGTGTTTGAGTGATTGGCTTACAGTGCCTGCGATGGAGTAAAAAATAAGACCTCAAATCTTCACCTTTTTAGAAGAAATATGGCATAAATCATATCTCTCCACTTACTGTATTCTGTTAGCAGAGGGCCATTTGGCAAAGTAGTCTAACTGTGCTGCAGAATATAGACAATGTAGAGACAAATCTCACAGTTTACAATTTTCCTCTTTAAAATGATTGCCCCTGGCTGATATGAACAACCTTGCATTCATAGAAAAATAAATTTGTGACTATCTCTAATTCGTCCCTTGACTGTCAACCTCCGACTTTGTAGCATTCAAGATTTAACACATGTTACTTGAATCTCACTTGTAGAAATTATGCTTTTTACATAAACTGGAACAAATCAAAAGCAAACCCTGTATCATCTGAAATGGTCAAATGACAAACCATATGGTCTGGGAATAAATAAGAGTTCATACTTCACACTCTTTGTAAGGCAGCTGCTGACACTTGCACTGCCCATAGCCATTGATGATCACCAGGGCCCCCTCTTCGTGGCTGGGCTCATACTCATTATAGGGTACCTGCGTGGCTAGGTCTGCCATTGGCTGCCGCTGCTGGGTCCTCATCTGTCTGCGGTTCTGAATAGCTGAACAGTGGCGTATCCGCCGCAGGGTGGGAGGGCAGCACTTCCGTGAGATATACACAACAAAAATGATGAAAAAGAATGAAAATAGAAGGGCCATAGTTCCAATGATAACCCTCTGAGTCATGACTGTGTTGTCTGTAGCGGCGAAGTCATCCGTCACAGCCGCCTCTTCCAACAAAGCCGTCGTTGCTTCAGCAGTGCGTGGTGTTTTCGTTGTTGTCGTGGTGGTGGTGGTGGTGGTGAGTGTGGTAAAGCTCCCAAAATCCTCTGCATAGTCCTGTGTGGGGGTTGCCTGCATAATTCCAAACAAGGAGCTTGTGATCTCTGCGGCTGTACTAGCGTCTGTGGTTGTACTGATGGTCTGAATGACTGGTGCTGAAAAATTCTGGCAAAGCTGGAATCCATAAACGGCGTCGAGTATCTCCTCACCTTGGGCGTACTCGGGACTATGGCAGAGGATAGAATGTTCCCACCTTCCCTTAAAAGTGCTCAGCCAAGTGGCCAGAGGGCAAATCCTTTTGGTACATTCCCAAAGGTTGCTCGACAGCCCGATTGTTCCCAAAGACTGCCACATGTTCAAAACCTGGGCGTCCAGACTGCTTAGTTTGTTGTTATCCAGCAGCAACATTTTTAAATTTGGCAGCGTTTGAAATACGTCAGGTGTCAGGACACGGATTTCATTTCCTGTTAGGTCCAGCTTCTCTAACGTGGTCCAGGTCCATTCCATGCCACACGTTAGGTTGCTGATCTTATTCCACTGCAGATACAGGAACTGCAGGGCAACAAGGCGAGGGAAATGGGCCAAGTTAATCTTGGTCAGCTGATTATGTTCCAAGTGGAGCTCTTTGAGCTTAATGAGCCCGGCAAATCCATTCCGGGCCAGGCTCCGGAGACGATTGCTGCTTAGGCCCAGATATTCCAGGCTGCGGCAGTCCCAGAATGCCCGGACGGGCGTAGTGCGAAGCAGATTGGAGCGAAGGTGAAGTATCTGGAGCTTCCTCAGGCCGTGGAAGAGCTCCGGTTCTAATGACGTCATCTGATTGAAGGACAGGTCCAGTATCTGAAGATTAATGAGGTGGATAAAGGTTGTGTTGGGCAACTTGGTGATACGATTGGAGCTCAGATTAAGGTCTTTGAGTTTGTAGAGCCCCTGAAAGGCGTCCTCTTGTACCGTGGTGATCTGGTTGTGGTCGAGATGTAGCCATGTGAGCTGGCTGAAACCATAGAATTGATCAGGACTGAGCTCGGTGATGCTATTGTGGCGTAGTGACAACCCCAGGGCGCCCTTGTCCACACCATCTGGCGGGGCCGTAAGCTCCTGGGTGTCGCAGTAGAACTGCAGGTCCTCACAGCGGCATTTTTGAGGGCAGGTTGTGCATGATGCAGGAGACAGCAGGCACGCTAGGAGCATGCTGATCACACTCAGAGCCACTGGTGCAGGTCCCACCAATGGCCACCTTGAATGGAAACCTGGGTGGGTTCAAAAACAAGAAAATGAACTGCAGGGCGGGAAAGGTAATCTCTGCAGAGCACTTATTACTAATTCATAGCGGCGGTTGTGCTGTTTGTGTGTGCTCCCCGTCTCCCCCAAACACAGAGCAGATAGACATTTTAGACGGGCAACTTTCAAGATGGATTTGAGCCCCTCTCCTTGACGGTTGTTTTTAAGGATTTAATTAAACAACTAGTGACTGATTATATACGCGAGCTGGACTTTATTTGCTTTGTCTTACCGTTTTGAAGCCCATTTTGTTCACATCTTGTGCCACGTAGTTGTGCTTGAATGCAAATTCCCTTTTCATTACTGTCATACGTACGTCATTGATTTCTGAGAGATTTGAATTTTAACACATTCTGAGATGGTTCTCTCTCACCATCATTAGAATGGGGGGAAAAAAGGAAAGCACTATTTAGTTTTTTTTTTTTTTTTCCAAAGAGAGATTATTTCTGAAATACAAATTAATTAAAAAAAATGCGTACAATCTTAACTTGTTCCGATGGAGGAAAAAAGTGAATGAAAGACCATTGCAGATGAGCATTTAGCTCCCACTTTTACTTATATTCCCTATCGATGGTTAAAACAGCAATACAAAGGGCTAACTTACCCATTCTTTTGTGTACATCGGAGGCTGCATTCAACTGTCCTTTTCTGCAGACTCTTGGAGCAACCAGATAGAAGAAAAATCCAAAGGGAAAAAACCCTTTTGAGGGAGCACAAAAGGAATCAACCTCTTTGGAAATAAAGCTATTTTGAACCCACCCAGTTGAAACGAAATGTAAAAATCCATGTCCCAAGATGAGTTATTCCTTTGATTTAGCTTGAGTCACTTAAAATCCAAGCTTAAAGAAGAGATTGAATCTTCTTCTTTCAATCCAGGGGTCCTTGAAATGAATATTTATAAATTTTCTTAAGTTGATCACTTGCATCCAGAGCGACTCCAGCAAGCAGATCCCCCCCCCCTCCTCCTCCTTCTCTCCCTTTTTCTTCTTCCTCTTCTTTTTACCCTTCTGCTTTCCTTCCACCGCAACGATATTCCCGTAGACGGTTAATTGAAGATCAAGCGTTTCTCTGTCATGGTCGTGGTGGTCCAAGGCTAACTTGTTGATGGCAACCAGAGATTCTGCCTCCGATGCTGGCTCGGTCTCAGCATAACCTCTGCAGAGCTGTGAGCGGAGCCCTCGTCTGATAGCTGAGACGCAGGGAGAGGGAAAAAAAGCAGAGCAGGGAGTCAGGGATGTTATTCTGAGCTTTTTGTTGCAGCCACTCACTGCTACAGAGTGGTGGCAGCCTGGCGTCGATCATCACCACTGTTTCTCTCTCTCTCTTTCTCTCCGCTTTTCTCTCCCCCACACACACACACACACACCAGCAGCAGCCTCTCACTCTGTTGCTCAGTCACTTACTCTCTGCGTGCACCTTCGTCTTCCTCCACCTCCCTCATGCATCCCCCTTCCCTCCCACTGGCTCGTCACCATCAGAATATTGATACCTTGAACGTGTTGCGGCAGCTTGCTGTTGAAATTGACCACAGCTGTAAATCTCAGCCTCGCCTCTCCGTTGTCCTGCAGGCACCATGAATGAATATGGAGTGAAGACATAAACCAAAAATAATAATGAAAAAAAAAACCCAGCAGACTATAGTTTGTAACTTGTGGCTCTTTGAAAAAGGGAAAACAGGTGTGCTCCGTTGCTGTCACATTAGAGGAGAAGGATTACCATTCAGACTTTTCCCGTTTTGAATGCAGGGATAACTAAAGGCCAGCTGCTAAGTGGAATCAAATTGCCGTGTAATGCGCGGTGAGACCAAGATAACGGAAAAGCAAATGCTCTTTACTTTTTCATTGTTCACAGATTGAATTTTCTGCTGCGGATGGAAGACCTTCTCAGGTCCTTTGGTGTAGAGCTGACTGCTTCGTTTGGCTGCATCTCCCTCATACTTTACCGATAAAAAGATTTCCTGATTTAATGTGAACCACAGTACGCTCAAATGTTCTCTCTTTGCCCACCGACAGCTTAACAGTGCTGTTTTTATATAGATATGAAGTGGAAACGGGGAAGAAAGGAAAGAAAATGTAAAATCCATCCACAACTTTCATTCATCTAAATTGTAGTAATGCTCAGTTATCTCATTGATTACCATTTGATGCATTTTCTAGGATTTACATCTTTGTTTGTTGATTTTTTTTGTTGCTTTTTTGAACTGAGTTTTTGTTGAGAAGAATGTTCTTACTTCAGTCCTGAAGGAAATGGAGAGAGACTCACCAAAGTGTTGTAAAGATGCTGCAGAGAAGCCGCTTCTGTAATGAGCACCTGAAGAAGTGCTTCAGAACCCTCTTGCATGGAGATGAAATATAGGCTAGGCATGGATGAAATGGGATTGAAATAGCTGACTAAAACCCCACCATAGCACGGAATCCAGCCAACATAAAGATCACAGAGGATTTGTGCCGTTAGTGCTCCATGGTCCCAAACTCTGCGCATAACCCCCGACTGGGGAAAGGTTAGCGGGGGGGATGGGGGAGGTCAATGCCATCATCATCATCATCATCATCATCATCATCATCCACAGTGTTATTATGCAGTTGATTTAAGACGAGCATAATAAGATGAGCAGCCCAAATGCAGCAGGCCCTTTGCCATTTCCTCTGCTGCGTTCATCAGATTCCAATCTAATTGAATTATTCTTCAGCATCAGGTCATCTCTCTCATTCCATCCCCTTTCCCCTCTCTTTCCCCCCCTCTCTTTCTGCAAGTTTTTACATTCCTGTACTTGATGCTTACGTTTTACTCTAAAGAAAGCTCCACATGTAGGACATTGGTTTCTTGCGTCATGCTCTTCGCTAGTCATTGTCTGCTGCTCACTTTTGAGACAGCTCCATTTGTGAACCTTTTTCCAGCAATGCAGAAAGTGTGTGCAAGTTGCTGTTTTGACCTGAAAAGGACGTCTATCAAAGCCCCCAATGTTTTGCAGGGAGAGAGCCGTATTTTGTGATTGTGGGCCAGTCTGACTTTCCCAAACATCTCTAGCGTGTTTTTGCTTGGCAACAGTGCCACAGAGTCACCTCTATCACAGCCCCTTTTAGACATGCACTCCTTTCCCTTTATGGGATGTCATGTCAGAGTGAGCGCCCTGGTGCCTTTGTGTAAAGGTTCTATACACCAAACCCATGTCAAGACCCAGCAGCAACAAAAGCCCCCCCGCTGCGGCTCCTCACCCCGCCGGCATAGTGCGGGGAAAGAAAAACACATTGCAAAGACCACTTCCGAATCTCAGCTTGGAAGAAGGGTCGGCCTCTGTGTCACCGTGCAGAAGATGGTAGTTGTCGTTGTTCGATTATAGAAACTGAAAGATGGCGCAAAAAAAAACAAAACAATCAATTTTCACTTCAAATAAACTGGGGTGTTTTTTTTCTGACATTTATGCTACCGAGCGTAATGTAAAGTACAACTCACAACTACGGATTTGGTTCATTTGTTGTACTCAACAGCCAATCAGAGGCCTCCCTCTCTTCTATTCCCCCCCATCTCTATAACTGAAGACGGGCGTTTTACATGAGCTCTGAGTGTTTAAACATTAAGGAAAGTGTTTCATTACATAAGCACAGGGTGAGTCATCAACGTTCATCTTTCTTTCAGTCTTTCAGTAAATTGTCGTCAGCAAAGAATGAAACACAACTTTTTACTACCAGACGGTTTTTATTTATTTATTCTTTTAGTACAGAATGTTAAAAATCTCCTTCCTACATGTTTGATGGTGTAATAGTTTTGATTTAGAGCCTTCAATACTTAACTATTTATAAACAAAAACAAATAGATGACGCACTTTAAAATGAGGTTGGTGCTTAAGAAGGTGTAATGTATATGAATCATGCAATAGAAGTACTAACGCCTGCATTATTTATATAAGCCATTCGTTGGGTCCACTGGCTTTTGCTCCAATAATCACTTTTTAATGTTGCAAGTTCAGAAATGATGCAGGAGTTTATATGAGGGCAACAGGGGCTTTTGACAGCTGGTCCAAGTGGGCTGCAAAGGTTTACAATGAGTAAAGAATGGATTACACCGGGCATCTGACAAAGACCAGCTACATGTTTAAAAAAAAAAAAGTGTAATCATTTTTACTCACTTCACTCTGTATAAATGTATGTGTGTGTGTGTGTGTGTGTGTGTGTGTGTGTGCTCCTTGTGCATGTGTCCCAGCTGTTCATCAGCACAACATCTTAAAATTCTGACACTGACACCGTTAGAGCACAGCGTGACATAACGATAGAAAAAGGATCTGTGGTTAGTCAGCGGAGTCTTTAGCACGATTAATCCATGCTTTTCGAGCATTACTTATAAATGAGTCAGGATTATTGTTACTCCTGCACTGTAACACTCACCACTTCCTGTCTCTGTTCATGTTTCAGGCGGGAAGGAAAGACAGGAGTGATGCTCTGAACACCGCCATCGACAGGATGACGAAGAAGACCAGAGACCTGCGCAGACAGGTTTGCTTGGTTTATTTTGTGTCTTCACCACGTCCATCCCCTCAATGTTTGCTCATTTTGGCTTTATGTTGTGGCTTATTCCTCTTCTTTACACAGAGAATTTAATTTGAACAAATCTGTATTCTACTTTATTTCCAACTCTTCAGCTGCGTAAAGCTGTGATGGACCACGTCTCCGACTCCTTCCTGGAGACCAATGTCCCCCTCCTCGTCCTGATTGAAGCTGCCAAGAATGGCAACGAGAAGGAAGTAAAGGAATACGCACAGGTGTTCCGTGAGCACGCCAACAAGTTGATCGAGGTATTGTATCTTTCTTCAAAGGTGCTAAATAAACAGTGTCGTGGTTAGAAGCTGGTCCATTCATCTGTCAGATATTCTCACTGTTTTAATTATGGTGGGAAAAGAAAGCAGCAATAATGTCTCTGCCCAGAACATCCACGTTCCAATCTTAAATCATCTTCCTTTCCTCCCTTTGTTCTCTGATGAGGTGTTTGAGTAAAATTAAATTTTACTAAATGTAAAAATCTGAAATTTGATGATAATATTCTCTCAGCACAGCAAAGAATGGGATTTTCTCTAATGAAGACCGAGCCAGATTTGAAAATGTCATTCAGTTGTTTTGGTACGTGTACGGCGGAGCATCATGTGCTGACATTTATAAGTGGCGTCTCTCCATTGGTAAATAGCCATGAGTGTAGCGGGGTCAGGAAGTCCTGTGAGGGCTGGGCACTGTACTCATTCACAGGGGAAACCATTCAAGCATCAAAAGGAAAATGGTCAACGCTGGGGATTAGACCCTGAAGGTATCTCCTAAAGGCCTGAGTGTCACATGGGGCATTGGAGCATGACATTGGCGGACTTAGTTAACACTTGTGTACCATTTATGCTAGCCCATCAAAAAGAACGGCACAAGATAGATTTTTGGTGCACACGATTTGGAATTCTCATCTTTATTAAAAAGAAGAAAATGATTTAGATGTTTTTCTGAGTTAGGCCATGTTGCCTTGCATTTAGTGTATTTGGTTCTCTTTATCAACTACATTTTGACATGTGGAAGAGGCAATGAAAAAAAGCAAGGAAGTTTCTGCTAAAGTTAGGTTTCAATTTTAAGTAAGTTACTGAATATGGAGCTGCAAAAACTTCAGCAAGAAATACAGCTGGTCCTTTCAGTGTGGTGAAGTGTTCAGGCTCTCTTCAGTTTGGTGGTGTACGGGGAAGAAAGAGCCAGACTCGACTCATTTCACATGCACAAATACCAGCCTCACACCAGCAGCCAGAGTTAAAGAGAATGTTTGAGGAGCTGACCAATACACATTTCACCACATTCCATGTAAATCCTGAGCAGATGGAGTAGTGATGAAGTTTGTGAGTTTATGCATTTGAACAGTTTTGCAGTTACAAAGTGCAGATTATGTATTGTTTCTGCTCAGAGATTTGGGTGGAAGAAGTCTGGTTTAACTTGATATTCACTGTATTTCTGATGTGATTTTACAGTCAATTTTAGGTTTAGAAGGAGGAAGATAAACTTACTGATATTATATGTAAAAATAAGCCACAAGCCTAAGGGCATTTTTTTCATCAGTACATGTATTTATTGATTTTTAGAATAAAAACTTAGTAAACTTCAAAGCACTTCTGTTTTGTGGCAAACTTTGAGCTTAAATAGTTACAATCTGAATGCTACATTTTTACTGATTTGGATCTGTTTAAATCGAATACTCATAAGTCCAGGAATGGCTTATCTATATGTTTTTGAATTTGTTGGGTTTTTATTTCGACTAATAAAAGGTTATTTCTCGTAAAATGAAAAAAAAAAGCAGGATGTCTTTGGATAAAGCTACATTCCTGCTTTAGAGTCACTACTGACTGAGCATGACTGACATTTTCTCCCAAATTCATGGCTCATACTTATTGAATTGTACTTGGGGCTGCTCAGGAAATAACCTGTACCAAAAACACAGATTTTTAGAGAAAGTAGTCGCAGTGTTTCATTTCTTTTTCCCGCAGTATTGAATTTGTTGTAATTGCAGCATGTCTCCGGTCAGTAGTTTGAACGGCAGAGATCTACCAACTTTAGGCTCTGGGTGACATCACGAGTTGTGTGACATCAAGTGTAGGCCGCCCGAAGGCAAATGGCCTATTAGTTCACACACATTTGAGAGGCACATTATGACTGACCCATATTCAGAGAATGAAGGGGAAAAAAAGAAATGGATTCAATCTGACATGTCCCAAGCTTCAAGGCTCTAAATGAAGCAATGGAATGGCAGTGACATTAGATAGCAGGTTAGTTAATGCTGTTTTGATAAACCCGTTCCTTTGAGTGCACATTCTGCTTTGATTAGGAGCTTTAAAATGAAACGCCCCGATATCATAGAGGCGTGGCACAAGACAAGTAAAGATGCAGGAATGCTTCCATAAACCAGTGACCCAATGTAATGACATACAATCAGTGGTGAGAAAAATGGCTGAATTTCATAGCAGGACCTACCGTTTCTTCTTGTACAAATGTTGTTTGTTTTGTTAGTTTTTTCATAAGCTTTTTGACAAATGTGTTCCATTATTGCTCAGTATCATTATTTATGATAAACTTAAGAGTAATAAATGAAGGCATTTTTGTGATCATGTTAAACTTTTTTTTTAAAAGGGAGGTAAAATATAAATACAGCTTCATATTTTACTCTCTGTTTATTGTATGCATTGTATACGCTGCATTTCTGTTTTTTGTTGTAAGTGTGCACTCAGTGCACACTTACTTTTCTTCTTTTTGCCAGTGAACTTGAAAGTAGAATTTCCATGTTTGGCCTATTCCAGTCTCCCTTCATGCAGAAATAGCTGCTTACCCAGTGGCTCTCAGAGAGTGTTAGTAAAAGCTTATGTGAAAGATTATGAAAATATAAATACAGGTCTCTCCATAAAGTGCCAGTTTTCCCCTTATGTAATCACTTTCTTCCCCTTCCTCATGGATTACTGAGTGTCCTGCCCGTGGTCTCTGAATGCGTTTGAATAGTGATGTAGGGTACGTTTATATTAATGTTTTAGTGCTTCACTGATGCAGTTGAAGAAGTCCTTCTCAACAGAAAATAAATTTAAGGTGGGGGCATGCGTTTTTAAGGACCGGGGAGACTACAGGAGCCAAAGATCTTCTAATATTCTGAATGAGTCCCCCGCTCCAGCTGCCACTGAGGCATATCAGCCCCCCGTATAAATGGATCTGTTTCTTTTCTACTTAAATTGATCATTATGAGAGATTTTTGCCTGCGCTTGTCTTTTTTTTTTATTGAGGTTATTTTTTTATTCATTAGTTTGGAACTTCCAGTCCTAAGGCCCCATATAAGCCACATTCAGCATTTTAATGTAAAACAAGTGTCATAAATGTATATTAAAATGAGTTGTCTTACTTGTAGTGGTCCCATTCAGATATTATGTTTGGATGATGAAACTGAAATTTTTGGGATTGTATCTCATCTTCATGTCACTGTGTGATCCATTGTGCACTGAAACAAATGCATATTAAATACACGGTTTGTTCCTGCTACAGCAGAGTCATTATTAGGTTTTGCTGTTGAAAGTGAATGTGTTCCAGCACATTTTTTTGCCCATCGGATAATCCCATTTTGGCACCGTTCCTCATCTCCCCTACGTCCCGTTTCAACGTTGTTGTAAACACAGCAGCAACAAAAGGGGAAACTCGCTGACCTGAATTTATGTGAAAATTACTGGATGAACAATGTCACCGTGGAGAATATTTAGGAATAATAGCAGGGGGAGCTTGATTTGTAGGATAGTGCCTGGAAAAAGCGCTCTCCATTGCTCAGTGAAGGCAGGTGGGAGCAGGACCTGCTCTGCTCAGCTCAGCTTTGCAGCTCTGAACCCGCTGCTCGGTCTTGAAAGTGACTGGAGCATTTGCCTCTTCAGGAGTCTGTTGAACATGTGGCAGCTGAGCCATTTAGGAAAGGAGAGTAGCCATGCTTCAGTTAACAACTGCTGCTAACATTTGCATTTGCTAAACCGTAACCTTTTTTTTTTTTAGAAGGGGGGGACACAAATAAAGAAGTCTTATCCATTCGTTGAACAGCTTAACTTTTGTGGTTTCTCCTTTTGCGCCATCTTGTTGTATAATTTCAGCATCTATGATGTATTCTCCAGCAGTGTGCTTTTTATCCAGAGATTATTTGTGTTGGAGAGCTGCTCCATTTCTGATCATGAACATTCAAACTAGGCTACCATTCTGAACTTCATAATTCAATTATGTATCCTTGTATTGTGTCTTTGTGACAGACACTGTACTTTGTTTTTTTTCTTCTCCATTTATATGTGTTCTCTTTTCAGGTGGCCAACCTGGCATGTTCCATTTCCAACAATGAGGAGGGAGTGAAACTGGTCCGCATGGCAGCGTCTCAGTTGGAAACTCTGTGCCCCCAGGTACCTTGTTTTTGCACTCTGCTGTGGTTATTTTGCATATCTTTGAGAGCTTGTATTAAAAGTCTGACAAAAAAAAATACTTTGCCACAGCTCAATGAGGATAGCAGATTGAGATCACAGTCTGGATAAAAACAATATAAACAGAATATTTTTAAGCCTTCATTTAGTCGCATGCTTTGTTCCTAAACTTGTCAGTTAATCTGTTATTAGAACTAATTAAAATATGCTACCATTGATATCGATATGTCAGAAAAATATTGAAAAACTGCTTTTAATTGTTTGTCACCTGTAGATATTTCTGCTTTTTTCTTCTGCTGGCTGTTGCCCTTTCCATACCTAACCCCTAACCCACATCTTCCATCTGTTGCAAACGTTCTATTCCAATATTTACTGAAAAGATTTACTGAAAAAGAACTGGTTAAGTTATAGAATTTTGTGAACGTCCATGCACACATACAAAAATGTTACTCATGGTTTAGTTCTTTTCTGCACTTAAAAAAAACCCAATCACTCTTAAGCAATTAATTGCCCTCCTGATATAATCTGAATATGGAGGTGGGGGCCGTGTGCAATCAGGCCGTGCTAATGTTGTGGCTGAGGGCTGTGCTGTAATTGAGCTTTAATGGTTGTAATTTGGCTATTACAGGTGATTAATGCCGCACTGGCCCTGGCTGCCAAACCCAACAGTAAGGTGGCCCAGGACAACATGGATTTGTTCAAGGATCAGTGGGAGAAGCAGGTCCGCGTCCTCACTGATGCTGTTGATGACATAACATCAATTGATGACTTCCTTTGTGTGTCTGGTAAGCAGTGTTAATTTGCATGTCATATCCATAGAAGGGGAAATAATGCTTTGTGCCATTGGAATAATCTGGGTTTTTGATAGTAGAAACAGTTTACATGGATTATCTGAACAATTAGATCAGATTAATTTAGACCATATCGATTACTACATATTTAACAGCTTCTGGTCAGTGTAGATGTTGTAAGCATGTAAGACTTAAATGATAAGGTAAGATGAATCCAGAGGACCCACTTTTTTCTTCTTTTCTAAAGATTCTCATGTGCTGTAGCTGATTGGGCTCAACGGAGAAAGTACCAAAGCATCAGTAGAGCCACATCATAAATTGACAGCCCGTCATGTGTGTCGAAGCGCACAGACGGCCGGTCAGGCGTGCCCTCAGAGTTCTCATTAAGCATTGAGTAGAGTGACTTTGCTCACCTCCAGCCAAGGACGGGCTGTAATTTACACAGCGGGCATTTGCATTTTACAGGCTCCTTATTAACAAGCATAGAATTTGACTTGAGCCCTTTCCACTGAGCTTCCCAGTGGCCCTTTTATACCCAGAACTGTTCAAACACAGCAGAGACTGATAATAACGTGCCGGTGTATTTTCTTATTGCACGCATAAACATGTTCCAAGCTTGATGCGAGTATGTTAAGAGTGGCAGAAAATGAAAGTACGGTTCCAGCACCTCAGACAACAGTGTTCACATCAGACTAATTAAAAGTGTCCTCGGCTAATTGGACACTGTTTTATGTGTTCAGAGAACCATATTCTGGAGGATGTGAATAAGTGCGTCATCGCTCTGCAAGAGAAGGACGTGGATGGTTTGGATCGCACTGCTGGAGCCATCCGAGGCCGTGCTGCCAGAGTTGTCCATGTGGTGACATCTGAAATGGACAACTATGAGCCTGGTGTCTACACGGAGAAGGTGTTGGAGGCCACTAAGCTCCTCACCAACACAGGTAAGCAAATAACTGGCCAAAAAAGACTGATGCTGAATTATTTCAAACTATGACATGAATGATTCATTTGAAAGAAGCTAGGTCTAAAATGATCTCATACATAACAAATGTTTAAGCTTGCATACAACTGCATGGTTATTTTCTCAACTTGTCATTTAATGTAAACCATTTGGTTTAAAAGCGCATGGGGGCCCCCAAAAGGGATAATCTAAAGCTTTTATATTCAATAGCTTATGCTCTTGTTTTTATTATGCCGCATAAAAGTAGAAGGTGCTCAGCCCTCCAGAGACACCATGTTGTTGCCGGGTGTGACAAGTAAAAGGGGTCAAACTTCTCTTTAAGTATGACTAGCTTGGGGCTACTCCATCTTTGTTTTTCGTGGAGCGGTCATCCTGAATGTAGTCCCAGGCAAAGGTCAAACAGTGACCCTGTCAACGCATCATTGAAACTGTCACTGTTGAAACCTGTTGGCTTTTTCTCTCAATATATCACTCTTGCATTTAATAACAACACAATTTTTTGACAAAATGTGTTAACATTATGACCTGAATTGATTACCGGTGTATGATCTTGATGCTCAGTTGTCTCCAAAGCAAACAGCAATCTCAGCAGTTTAATTTCTCCCACTGTTAGTCCAATCATGAATGTAAATAGAGTTTAGAACAACATACTTTTTCCTATCTAATGTGAAAGAAATCCTGATGAATAAAAGCTGAGCTTTCAGCCTCCCACACTGAGATAGCCATTCTCTGACTCAGCTGACATCATCAGTGCTGCAGTCACTATTCACTTGTCAGATGGAATTGAATATCTTAATCCAACATGCATCATAGAAGCCATTTTGTCCAAATAATATGGTATATCATTAGTCACCCAGCATGTATGAGATGTGCTAGCTTCCATCACTAGCAAGCTAACATGACAGAACGATTTTTCGGTTGTCAGATTTGGAAATGGCTCAGCCCTCTTGAGAGTGCAGCCATTAACAGTCAGGAAATGCAGGCTGATTGTTACCTGAGGATTACAGCTGAGGCTGAGAGGGGAGCTTCGGATTTTCCCATGTCCTTTTTATAGTAAATTGATGCGATTCAAGTTAAATTATTTATTCAGTCATTTTGAATTTTTATCACACTGCTTTTTTGTAAGTTTGGATGTGCTTTTCTCAGAACTGAGTACACTATAATAATTTTTTTCTAGTTCACAGACTAAAAGCAAAACATTAATCATTGCGAGGGGAAAAAACTCCACTTCCGCATATAATTGTAACCCATCAAACGATAGCATTTTCAGTCTTTAATGTATTTAACAGCCTTTTAAAAAAGCAGCCTTATGTTGGTCACAATCCTAGTTTATCAGCTTTGTATTTAATTTTCCTCTTTTTTGACGTTTTAATCAGTTTGAATTGATATGCCAGAATGATTTTATTCAGTTGAGGAAGTAATCACTGTAAAAATGTTCATTTGGCCTGACTGTCACATTTCTTAACATTTCTATTCAGAAGCCTGCAGGTTATAAACTGTTTGGGAGCAGCAAAACTAAATCTGTGTTATTGCTGCTTGTGTTATTTGCATCCATGACTCTCATGAAGAAGCCGCTAAATCCCAAAAACTGAGTTTGATATATTGCTAATGCAAATCTGCAGGAAAAGGCCCCCAGAATAGTTATTAAATTGTTATTGGGTTAAATACATGCCCACTGGGACGGCTTTATGAAGCTTTCTGTTTGAGGAACTCTTTATGCTAAATCCGATCTCTCCCCTTTAGCATTTGTTCCACATTTCATCTGCTGTCATTTGAAGCAAAAAGCTAAAAGTGCAAATCAAAGTGTAATCTCATCAGTTGGCATTTAAATAATTAATTCAGACTTGATTCTTTGCCGGTGCCTTTTTGTCGAGCATAACAAAGTTAGTCCTTGTTTGTATTTTTAAGAGGATCATTGATAGAAAGCTTGCAGCCCCAAGGATACTTTCACAGACCTTCAGTCTCTGTTGTCTTCATTTGGTGGAAGTGGTGCTCCATGCTTTGCCTTTCAAATATTGATGAGGTACAACACCTTGTCTGTTTTATCTGTAATTATCTTCCTGTATTTTCATCGTTTGTCTCTTTTCTTTCTCCATTCCATTTTCTATCCTTCATCTCTCAGTCATGCCTCGGTTCACAGAGCAGGTGGAGTCTGCAGTTGAGGCATTGAGCGCAAATCCCTCACAACCTGTGGATGAGAATGAGTTTATTGATGCATCACGTCTGGTGTACGATGGCATTCGCGACATACGCAAGGCCGTCCTAATGATTAGGGTAAGTTTTACCTTCTTTTGCCATTCTTCGCATTCCGAAATGAAAAGCTGGCCCTTTTGAAAGCTCTGCAGCTCCTATGAAAAGCTCCACATGTTTGATAGAAAACAGTCGAAAGTTTCCCATAAAACATTGGAACCTAAATGACATCCTTGGTAACTCCACTGTGGTGCATGGCAGGAGGTCTCAGCTACTATGTGCTATTTTTAGCAGCGAGAAACTTTCTCTGTACAGTTTTAGAAACCAGTGATTAACTTGTCTCAGGCAAAGCTGACCTAATTGACCAGACATGCAATCTAGTGTAACAACAGCCCTGGTTGTCTGTGGGTTAATGGGTTTTGCATGAGTAGAACCATAACAGAGACAGATGGTAGTGGGGAGCCATTGAAGCATTATTGACTGACAATAAGCTGACGCCAAAAGCCACTGCAGCTGTGAAGGGAGAAATGGATCGTTGTAAAGACTTTATAGTATAACTAGTTTCATTTCACTACTTGAAGCTGCCAACTTTGATTTTTCACATACAAAGTAAAAGCATGGCCTAATTATCCGTTTAATCCTTTGTGATACCCTGTTCTCCATTATTTTCAGCTCTTCAGCCATCAGTTCCCATCACACGTGTTGTATTGACAGTTGTGCTCCAAAACTTTTCCCCCTTCTTTTTAAGGCTCCCCAGACATGCACCATAACCCATGGAAGATGAGCCACTGTGTATTTTGCAATATAATAAGGAACTGATTTAAGATGAGGTTTTTTAATTAGCATGCTTTACTTGTACAGCAAGCCTGAGAACGACATTCAATTTCGATTTGCCCCAGCTCTGCTTTTGTCATCCAGATTAAGCTATTAACACTGGACCTATGGGGCTGGCTGAACACTGCTTGGAGGATGAGGGAGTGTGTCACTGTGCGTGTGTGCTGAAACTAATGAAAGATTAGTGGGAAAACCTTGCTTACTCATAATTTATCCATCAGATTCATTCTGTCTTTGACTGCCAGCTGGAGAGAGTGATGAAATACAACTCAAACTTCCTCCATTTCTAAAGGAAAACAAAAAGCTCTTCCTCTGAATGAGCCAGGATCTCACAGTTAGAGTGAGGGGGGATCTTCACAGCTTTAGCGGTGATTATTCATCAGGAAATGGCTCCCTTGTATTTATCATTTTTCCAGCAGCATCTAAACAGCTGTGTCCGTGGCTTACTCTCAGCTGCTGTTACTTAAGAGGTTACAAATGCATTAAAACATGCATTTATATCAAGAGAATTCCCTTTACTTGTGCGATTCTTGTTCAAGGGCATGCTTTATTTGTGCAGCAAGATGTGTAGTGCTTTGTCCAAAGAAATGTAGAATAATCCAGATCAGCTTAGTTGAGATGGCCAATTTCTCTAGAGAGCACGTCCACTCACTTTCGCACAAAATCTACAAACCCTCACATGTATTGACATCACCATGCTAAAGCTTGAAAGGAAATCAAACAAGAGTGTGATCTGGTGTCTTGCACACAGACATGTCCTTAACCTCTAAGTGGTGCAGGGACAGTCCGGGTTATGGCCGTCCCTTAGATATTTGACAGGCAGATGGAACCCGCTTCCCACCTGCAGTGACATCAGAGAGCATGCCTCCCAGACATGAAGCTGCTGACAGTTAGATACAGGGGGCAGCTGTCATTACCTTTTGATTTGTAACATGTATCACAGCCCAAGGTGATTTGCAGGCTTTTTCTTTAGAGGCGAAAAAGAAATCAGCTTAACTCAGTACGGCTGGAATTAAAGTGACCCAAAAATAAGGAGGGATGCAGTCAAGCAGGTCAAACTGCATTGTTGTTTTATATAAAAGACACTCAGCTCTGTGCCATTTCCTTTTTCTTAATGATTTCCTTCATACTTCATGTACCCCCTGATCACAAATGTTTCTCAGGTAAAATGGATGCCCAGTGGAGATGCAGTCCATTATTAAATGTGATGAGTCTGTTTTTACACAAACAAATAAAAACGGGCATTATATTTAAGTTTACCGGAACAGCATCAGTTTCAGAGCGCTCCTGTATTATTATGATCAAACAGCAGGCTGTTATTGTTACTGTGTCGCAGTGTCCCTGTGGGTACCCACCATGAGCTGTCATTTCTGAGCCTCCCATATTCGCAGGTTATCTGTTCCACAGGCCATAGCAGGTGACATTTCTGCCCCGCTGAACAGTATTGTCTTCCTGTGAGTCACTACAGCTTTGTATCTGAAACCAAACTCATATTCCCTTGAGAACAAGAGCATCTCCACATTTCATAAAACAGTGTAAGGTTGTTCAGAGACCCTCGGCTATTTTTAGATCTAAGGGCTGCAAATCCATTACAGTATGGAGGAATTGAGACAGTTGGATAAGCACAAGTGGGAGCAGAAGTATGATAATTCACCTTTATCTGTCCACATAATCTTCCGAGTGCCTATATGTCAGAAATGTTTCTGTCAGTCAGTGTTATATTTTCCCTTAAGGACGACCTTTTGAGATCAAATTTCCTTTCCGTATTTTCTGTGGATTATTTATGATTATTAATTCACCTCCGTCGCATTCAAGGCAAAGAGTGAGGTAAGGCCTCAGAGATAAAGTATCTGAATTTCTGAACATCACAATTCATGCCTCATCCCTGAATTACGACAACAGATGGGCCTCTGAAGTGTTTTGCTCCCAATATGTTTCATAGTAACACGTACCTTTTATTTTCCCCCTCAAAATGCACAGGCAGCACATTATGCTTGATTTACAAATTCATTTGGAGTTTACAGTTTTCTGTACTAAGCTACAGGGAGGAGACATTTATCTGATGTTGCCCAGGCAGGCAGCACCCGGGCATTTCTCATAGATAGTAACAGGTTTATTATTTTAACAGTGCTCACAGTCCTATTGAATACCAGTATTTTTTATGTTCTCCATTTAATTAAACGCTGTTTCTAAACCCATTTTGCTTTGTACTCTGTTTCTATAAATGGTATCCTTTTTCCCTGCCCGTCGCTGGGCCTCTTTGATCTGTAGTATTCTTCTTGTGCATTACAGACTCCAGAGGAACTGGATGACTCCGACTTTGAGACGGATGAATTTGATGTACGCAGCAGGACGAGCACACAGACGGAGGACGACCAGCTTATCGCCGGCCAAAGTGCACGTGTAAGTAGTACCTGTTTATTGTTGTAATTCTTGTGACTCCGACTGTCCACACACAATATGGTATATTTCCTGGACAGAAACCAGCCATTTCAAAGTAATTCTCTAAAAAGAGTTGTTTTTTTTTTTTTTTGTAATTTACAAACTCGTGTCATGTGCTCCATTTGCTGAATTGAATGTAACCATCCCACTTGAGTGAAATTTATGCGATGTTTGGCAAAGTTTCAGAAAAAAATTCCTTCATTTTATTATTTTGGCCTTCTCCAGTCTAAAAAGCACAGAAAAGGAGAAACAGAAAGACCTGGCATTTGTATTTCATACTGTGCAGTCAGTGATCCTTTGCAGCAATGTTGTCAGCCATTATTCTTTTAAACTCTCCACCCCCGTGCTTACTGTTGATGGGTTATGATGTACAGTTAACTTGGCAACATAAAAGCGAATGTGACCCAAGTATTCTTAAAAACTCTGTCTTCACACAGTTATTACAAGGGCTATATTTTTTGTTGCTGTTTGTAACTGAAAGGTTTTATATTGTATAAATTCTCATCTTCCAAGCAAGCATAAATGATGAGACTTAAGTCTGGAAATCTGCTTCCAGACTTGAGTCTTGGAGGGTAAATCAGGTCTTGATAGAGGAGGTGAAAATAGATTGGATCACTGCTCCGAGTGTCCTTTTGTCTCGAGTAATTATGCCTTACAATAGTCAACTAGATAAGCCAGCGTTGCCATTGTGCATGTGCTGGTTCTGAAATGTGCTTTTATTAATTGTAAGTTAAGACTTAAAAAATGTAAAGGTCTAACAACATTAAACATTTAAAGAATACAGTGTAATAACTTAATCTCAGAAATCCCTCATGATGGAATCATCCATCAGCACATTTCTGAGCAATTTGTTTTGATCAACAAAGATTATCTGACTGTTTTGTTTGGAGTGGCCTTTTTTTCCATCTCTACATGCTTAAAGAGCTTTATTCAAGCTTAGGTGACTCTAGAGAGACAGTCCTATTTACCAGTGATGGAATGAACACTGGCGATGATATTCGATTGCCTGCTCTTAAGTGTCTGCTTACTACAACACGATAAGCTCATTCACTAAGGCTCTGATGGTGTTTTTGGACGCTGCCCTTTAATTGTCCAGCTCACGAGGATATGTAGACTCGTAGAACGCATTTGAATAACATAATTAAAAAATGTTGTGAGCATTCCGGAGCACTTTTTTGTTTTGTTTTTAAAGGATAGAAATTTCCAATCATGAATGTTTTTATTAACATAACAATCTCTATGAAGCACAGAGGTCAATGCTAGTGTTTTTTTTATTTTATTTTTTTTAATCTTAAATAGGGATTGTAAAGCAGAGGTGTCAGTGGTTTAGAATGTCATGGTTTAGTTTGCTAACCACTTCTATACCCATAATCCTCTGGTAGGCTATCATGGCCCAGTTGCCCCAGGAGCAGAAGGCGAAGATTGCAGAACAGGTGGCTAGCTTCCAGGAGGAGAAGAGCAAGCTGGATGCGGAGGTGTCCAAGTGGGACGACAGCGGCAATGACATCATCGTGTTGGCTAAACAGATGTGCATGATCATGATGGAGATGACAGACTTCACTAGGTGAGTGATTATTTTTTTCTTTGTCCAATCAGAGGATTTTTTTTCTTTCTTCCTCTTCAAAATACCCCTTTTTCTTTCTGCAATTAGTTATTAGTATATTTCTGGCTTAAGAAGGCAAAGCTTTAGCTGAAATGTCACTTTGAATTTTAAATAGTCTTTAATCCATCAATGTCAGAGCTCTCCTTTTGTTTGACTTTGAGTGTTTGTCGCGCTTTCCTGATTTACAGGGCACCCTTTTTTCTTATGCATGGTTCAGCATTTAAAACATTTAGCTAGCCATTTTAAATGTCATCCTGCAGTTTTAACTTTAAGTTTTTCACTACCACAACAACAACCACAGCAAATATTTCCAAGGAAATATGTCCGTGGCAGAATGCAGCAGCCTACAGTAAGCCTGTGCCAGCGAGCCTACGTATTTGCTCTATTCTTTGGACTTCAACACCACGGTTCATGCTTCAGAGCTCTTCATTTAACTTAAGCAGCAGGCAAGGAAGGATTTTCTCTTTATTGTTTTTCCATCCTCCCATAATCTTAATATGCATAACCATAAGCAGAGCGTCAAATCTCCTCCCCTGGTATGGGAATAAGCTTTGAGTGCACTGAAAAAATTTAAATGGACACTCTTTGTGAGCAGAGCTGCTGCAGACCAAACTCTCACTTGTGAGTGGATTTCTTAGACAATAAGAATAGAACAGGATCCAACTAATCAGATATTTATTCATTTGGTTGGTACTGGTATTTTACATTACTATTACTATTTGCCCAGTCTTGTGTTGCTTTCGGAGTGTGTTTTGCGTCAATGTCCATTTGTATTACGAAGAGCCGTCCAATCATCTTTTTTGCAATTGGCTGAATCTTAGTAGGTTGTTTATGTCCGTTCGCTTCAGAATGCATCCAGCTGCTTCTGTCACATCATCAATAACAGGAGTGACCCAATGCTATAGGGATTCATGCCATGCCCAAACTATCCCACTGCCTCCACCTATTCTGCAGGCGTAGTTGCTTTACACTTTGAGCCAAGACTACTTTCTTGGTTGATCTTTGTTTAGTCCACCGAAAGAGGTCTCTCATGGAGCTAATGGCTTGTATTTATCACTTTGTGTATGAGCTCTAAAATAATCCTGGATTGACCAAAAAATGTGAACTTCGATCCTACAATTGCAAATAATTTAAGTTTATTAACCTAGAATCCATTATAGCATGTTTAGCCTGCAGTATATTGGAATGTGAAAGTTGATTGGCTCAGGATGGATTTACTGTCAGTAATTTTGCATGGCTATGTTTTCATGAGTTAAGCTTTCAAATTTTTAAATGCATACCTCCAGGCGTTTTTTTTGTGCTTAATATGACTCGCATCCATAATGACAAAACAGCCCCTTTATCCTTATCTCCTGAGTGAGTCAACTGAACATGTGAAATAGTGGAGAGCTGTTGCAGAGTTTGAAATGCCAACAAGGCCGGCGAACTGACCGAGGCTCCAACAAACCAGTTGGATTAAATTTTTATTTGGGGAGAAAATCTGGAGGTTATGTACACAAACAATGCTCCCCTAGGTTAGAGAAACACAGAAGAAGGCATTGGTATGAGGATTGCGCCCTGGTAAGAATTCTTGAAAGTTTTCTCAACACATTTGTCAAATCCAATGAGACTAATGCAGTGCAGGGAGGCCCGCCCCCAAGAGGATAAAAAATGACTGCACTACCTCATTTGCTCAATCTACACTGCACTTTACCGAGTATTCCACAGTGAGGGGCTGACCTGTGTTGTACCTTGTTTCCCTCTCTCAGGGGACCACTGGTTTTATGCATAACCTCTTTTGGTTGGTACACCAGAACAACCTAAAAGAAAATAGAGAAAACTCAAAAGAAAGACACTCATAGGACAAAGCAGGGAAGTTGGGACATGTGTGGGGTTAGGGCATTAGAACTGCGCAGTTTAACTTGGATGCCATAACGATGGAACAAAAGTGCTGGGCACAAAATTATAAGAAGTGCAGTCATATATGAAATTGTATCAATATCTGCAGACTCCAGTGGTTGAAATGATGCGTCACACAGCTCAGATCCTGCAAAGCTTATAGAATTAACATGATTTCTCTGTGAGTTGAGCGTGGATGCCATATCTGGCCATATATCTGGATCAGAAATACTTTGCTGTCAGGGAGGCTCCACATCTCCCACCCAGCAGGGGTGCTGAGCGGCGAGGAGTTTGCAAACAACCAGATTCGTGGTTCTCTCGTCCTGGTGCGCATTCTCACCTGGGCTGTATCAGTGTGGCCGGTGGGAACACCTGCCGGCACGTCTAACCACTTCTTTCCAAAAATGCAGTTTGCTTCAGTCGAGAAGCAAACCAGTCAACACTGTCTTGGCTAATGCGGCCCCATGTCTACCTTACCACCACAGGATGTAGCCTCCACACCATTTTCTTGCTTTGTACAGTTTTGTACAGGGATTCTGATATCCAAATTTTGTAAGATACAGCACACAAATATCCAAATGGGGATGTACAGTTATTTTCTATCCTCAGGAGGGTGGGCCTCCCTGGATATTGGCCTTAGGAGGAATGCTGAAGACAACTTCTATATTTGCTTATTGGTGTTGAAATAAGTAAGCAAAGAGCGGTTTATGCACATTTTCTGCTCTAAGTAGACTTTATTTATTTGTGTGACCGAGGGAAATGCTTGACCCCTTTTTGTCCGGCATGAATATCTGTACATTGTCATCCTCATACATGGTAATGGCCCATGGAAGGTCAGTGGCCGGTTAATTCATCCTTTGCCCAAATGATTGCCCCCTCGACCTTGAACAGGAATAAAGATCAGCCAAGGTTAATGCTGTTAGCTAATTGAAATGGATGGTCCTGACAAAGAGTGAGAGAGACTGCTATGTAGCCCACGGCTGTATGGCAGCTCATTAATAAGACGTGTAGCTTGGACACATGCAGCATTTGGGAAGCCACCTGCCACAGTTCTGTGCCCCGCACACGGAGGCAAAAATACTAAACCAATCCCCCTAAAGAAAATATGCTCATTTTCAGAATTCATTTGATCCTCTCATGTATACAACCTTTAAAATGGCCTTTTGTTTAAGCTAAAAAAAAAAAAAAGTGCTAACTGGTTATGTTGCTTTATTTGAATTTATTTCGACTGGAAATCACAACTTAATTCTATCAGCTGCCCCCGACATTATTTTTTCTTCTCTATAAACCATCACAATGTCTATAGCTTTGTCTCCAGGGGTTTACTTATCCCCGGAGAACTTCCAGTATGTACTGTGACGCATGGCCTTTTCCCCAGAGACCCTGGCTTGCTTTACATCACAGTGGCAGGGGGAGAGCAGGAGACGGGAAGGGTTAGAGATGAGATGGGAGGGAGGGCAGAGGAAGCCACAGAACAGAACACAAAATTCCATCTGTTGTGGGTTGGATGGCTCATTTTTTTAGCCTGGAGAGAACAGCTTTGAATCCAATTTATGCCTCGTGCCAACTGTGTCTTAGTCCCTTGAGGGAAACTGAAAAATGGCAAACTGTGGACAAGCTTTGCTGTGGGTCAGGTCAGTGCTGGACTGACCCGTGCAGCTTGACAGGTCAGGGATTGAAATGTAACATCGAGCCAGTTACCTTTGAGTTTGAATTGGATTTGATCTAATATTTATCCCTTTAGTTCTGTTTTTCTGCATTTTCAAATTTCCCAGACCTGAGCTGAAAGTGGCCCCCCAAATAGCATTTGTTACATTGTGATAGAAAATGTGCTTTGAGTAAATGGTTTGGAGTAAAAACCCAGTGTTACTTTTATTTTTCTGCATCCTATTGTAATATGAAATGTTCTGTATTGTTAGAACACTCAAAACTGTGTGAGTTTTATCATAAGAGGCATGCTGGTGCTGCAGAACACTGTAGTTACAGTGTCTTTAAGGACAGACTTCAGAGTGGTGGCGTCCCCTCTGCATCTGACTGATGTAAAACACTCTCATCTCTGACTAAACAATATTATGTCTGAGTGTTGAGGTGTTTAATGTGCAGAATCCCGTGCTCCGGCATCCACTCTTATTTTCTCTGGTGTTTTCCTGAACTATTCCCACTGTTCTCCTGCTTCTGACCGAGAAACAACCTTCCACAACAAACGGGCTCTCCATGGCAGGGGTTTTGCTGCTGCATATTGAATGAGTCTGCACTCGTAAGGGGGGGAGTTGTGACTGATCTTTTCATGTTTTCTCTCCAGGGGTAAAGGGCCACTGAAGAATACATCTGATGTTATCAGCGCTGCCAAGAAAATTGCGGAGGCAGGGTCCAGGATGGACAAGCTGGGCCGCACCATTGCTGACAACGTAAGTCCCAACAGTCCCATCTCCCCAAGGATCCATGCCAACTTCAACTTATGTACCTTTTGGGTCCTAAGCCCAAAAGGTACATTAAGACTTGCACACATATCAAAGGCATTTCAAAAAGGCAACGCCGGTAGGATTCCGCATTATGTTTGGGGTTTCCATCAATGTGTCACAGAGATGCCCCTGTTTTTTTCTCTTCTCCTCATTAGTTTACAAGTCATTACCACTTTTCTTTTTTTTTTGGAGAATCTAATGCTTCCAACTCCCACTCCCCAACTCTCTGTTTCATCATCTCTTCATGTCTATAACTTACACTGGAGACTATGGTCCTTGACATAAGGAAACACACATTCAATTATCCATGGCCTCATATTTCACTTAAATACTTGCACTGTGCCAGTCCTTTGGAAGACAGTGTACATGATTTATCCTCACTCACGTGAAGTCTCTCAGGCAGAGACTTACCCCTTCCATGTTTGCAGTCCATGCTGCACATTTTGTTGTGAAGTTTGCATCAAAACAGAATTGTCACATTGAGCCCGTCTCTTGTAGACATGTTCACTACTACAAGTTTGGGGTGTTTTTCCTGCTCGTTGTGACTCCGAGTTGTGAGCTTTCAGTGACTAGCTTTACCCATATGCAGACACGGTGCTTATTAGCCTCATAGAAAACATAATTCTATTTAATAAAATAATTCAGATTCAGAAGGTAAGAGAGCATTGGTGCCAGAGCAGGGTTTTTACTTGTTCTATCACATAGTGGAAACCTCTGAATGTGGCTTTTAGCTGAGCTGTGTTTTTTTTTCCCCCTCGTTGTCTGACATAATGAGCTGCTGGCCTTTGTGAATCCTGCATGTCTAATATTTTATTCAAGTTGCCCTCAGATTCTTGATATCACATGTCTCAGTTAGTCATAAAGTAAAATTCTTACCTGTACTGACCTAATTGCATTTGAATAATCTGAACAGGGAATAAGCTGTCCTGAAAAGTCACTTTAATATGCCTCGCTGCAGCTTTTGAAGATGCATTTTCACCTTAATGAAAGCGCTGTTATCCCCCAAAGAAAACAGATGGGCAGCTGTGCAGGTGTGTTCGTGTGCATGCCGGTCTGTGCATGCCTGCATAGGAGAGGCGTCTGTTGACGTATTAGCTCTCTGCGGGCACATGTGTACCGATGTGTTGGATGCGAGAACAGTTTTACCCTATATCCTCAACATTTAAAGGTACATGTTTTATTATCTTTTTGTGTCAATGTGCAGATTGTGAGTGTATGTACCCACATGCAATAAGAGGGTTTTGGGGGTTGAGGCACTCAAAGTATAAATAAATGAAGAGATTTGGCTGTTGAAACAGACATTCTTAGCCAAGAATAAGAACCCCTTCAGCCTCTGAACCCATCCAGCTGTCCCTCTTAGCTTTCTCTTTCTCAACACAGACCAAAACAGTGGCAAACCAGGCAACACTCAGCTCTAACACATCAACAAGAATAGCGAGAGATGGGCTTGGGGTAGAGGGGAGGATAATGATGGGAGAGATAGAAAGAGGGGGCAGTGCATATGTTTGGGGAGGTGCATATCTCTCCTGAGAGATGAATCCATTAAGAGCGCTTCGCCTTTTAATTAGCAGCGTAATTGCCAGGTGGCACATATATGATTTTTTTTCTCTTTTGTATATACATTCATGTGTATATATTTATTTCTGCCTGCACATTATAGCTCACAGCTCCAACAAACCAGGAGACGCCACAGGCACACTCGAAGCAAAGCATGGCGTGTTGGAGAAGTCTACATAGTCTAGCAGCAGTAGTTAAGTGAATCACCACCAGGATGCAAACATTCTGACTGTCAGAGGAGCAAAGGCAATGCTGGGACTGCTCATTAACCTAGGCATATTAATCACTTGTGCTCTGTGCCTCTGGCCTGCAGGGCCTGTGAGGGTTTGCTCCCGGTATGAAACACATTGGCAGATGGTCCCAGACTGATAGCACAGAATCTCACCCCACATTTTCATTTGTAAGACACCCTCAAGGTGTTTTGTGGTCCGAGAATATTGTGTTCACTGGAAATATGCAGGTGGACGTGTTCTAGTTTGGCATTTCTGTAAAACTGTTAAATAAGTGTAACGGAACCTTATTAAAATTTAAAGAAATGAGTGTTGTGCAGAGATGAGCTGCAGGATTTAGGTCATTGCTGTACAAAGGTCTGCACTGCAGTTTATTAAGAATTTATGATCCTTTTCTGCAGGGCACCTTATGATAATTCTATCCAAGTGGGCTGCTAAACAAATAATGCTATGTAATTGAGATATATAGTGCACATGTGTTAGCCACTATGTAGCCCATAAATTTCTGCCATTTGCTTCCTCACCTCAAAAACACTTGAATTGAAACTCAGAATCCATAAAATGGTAGCATGTTAGGAAAATGTGTGTTAGCAGTGCAAGTTTTATCATCATGATGGCTACTGAGAAAGTAATGTGCTTTTTTCAGTTTGCATTCAATCAGCTGAGATTTAGAGTGATCGATGGGCTCTGTTGTTGATCTCCGTCCAATCCCAGGTCTGAGCGTTGGTTGACTCCACAGCAGACAGTCTGTAAATTAGCTTCTTAAGCGAGATGTAAAATCACCCAGAAGGTTCACAGATACTCAGCAGTCTGAGTGCGCCCCCCCCCCCCCTCAGTGAACATCAGGATGAGCAAAGAAATTAAAGTCTCCCTCATTTAGATATCTGAGCTTTATCAACCCGAGTTGATCATTTTGAAAAGCATCTATCTAAAACTATTTTGTTTTTTATCTCTTCTTATACTCTTGAATTCAAGTTTGTCTGACTGTCAAAAAGCAGAGCATTCAATTTGATACAGAGATTTTCTTTTTACTTTGGTGTTTGTGGAAAAAGTTTAAATCTATTAGGAGAGAAGGAGTGAACGTCATGTTAATTCTTGTTTTGTTTTTTTCTGAACCTACTGTATATTGTTCCTCTGACACGGTTACATTACCAAATTCCAGAGGTTGCCCTGACCAGTATGAAACATCTTTCTTAAAAGATTCTGTTTTTAAAGTAGTTGTGAGGGACATCGCTACAAACAGCCGAATCAGGCTGGTCAATAAAAGATCAGTAAGTTAACTTTCAATCCTAGGAAGATTCAGCACACTAATCCTCATCAGAAGGCCAGTAAATAGAATGTCTGCTTTATTCAGGCTCTCATTAAATAGTTAATCTCCAGTTTTCTTGACAAAGATTCACTTTTATCATTGCTTTGATCTGTCTTCTTTTATCCATTTGTTATCCTCTGCCACTGTTTTCACAACTTCTAAACCTCAGTTGTGTAGGAAATTGTGCATTTATCTTGGAGTTTCCACAGGCCACAGTTTGGGATTGATCATTGCTTGTTCCTGCAGAGTTCTCTCTCTAGTTGTAGCTTTACTTTGAGAAACATGTTCCTTCCAGTGCTGCCTTTCCCATGTCTCCTTAAACTTTTCCATTGATCTCAAACTATTCTGGAAGTGGCATAAAGCGCACTCTTTTCCTTAACTCTATGCTTTCCTGCAGTGTCTGACAGTTTTTAAGTGTAATTGTAATGAAAGTGCCCTCTGGCTGGTTGTCCTGAGGTTTCTCTTTTCACACGTTAAGTCTGTTTAATAATGCAGATCCCCTGCACAGCTGTCACATTTCTACCCATCCCAGTCCCCCAGTAGTTGTGTTTCCACTTATTTGCTAAACTTATATTTTCAAAAATTACATCTCGAGACACGATTGGGATTCTGATGTGTCCATTCCATATACATCAGTGAAATTTATCCCTAAACAGCCTGTAGGGCATGTCTTTTAATGTAGAAGGGATATTGTAATCGGTGGTGGTCACAGACCAGTGATGACCCTTTGTGTAATGATGTAGACATTATAAAGTAAAGCCCTGTGCCACAGGCCAGTCTGCAGTCTGGCCTGACTTGGCCACAGCCCACAGTTCCAGTTGTTGGCAGAGACGGAACATGCAGTGTAGATTCTGGTTTGCTTGGAAGCTGTTAGAAAATAAAATAAATGTTTGCTGCAGTGGTTTTATACATTTCTTTTTTATTTAAACATCATCAAACTAGTAAGTCAGGCAAGACCCTGTTTAGGGATGTATGATAGCTGCTCTCAGCTTCTGGATCTCGTTCCCCCAGTTAAGAGCGGTTTCAGCCAATCTACCTCAAAGTCAAGCTCACCTTCCTAAAGGTTTGGTGTTTTCATTATGATAGGATGGGATATATCAGATGGAAGGCTAGTTTTTGCTTTCTTATCATGAGACCTGAGGTACCGTTCAACAGTGGCACTCCTCTGGCCTCAGATTTTTATGGGTTATAGTTGTATAAATATATATTGAATAACATGACTGCAATAAATATGATGAAACCATATATGTTTTGCAGACCATAGCTGCAGGATAGAGCAACTGATGAATACAGCGAGCAGAATCGTTCTCCTCACTTCGATCTAGTGATAGGAGCGTAAATTTCATAAAAGGAAAGCGATAAACATGAGAAAACTCTTCTTGGGTCCACTGACTGTGCCGCTGGCCAACAGGTTGCTGGTAGCAGCACATTAGGACGCTGCCTTGTCAGTGAATATTGGAAATTGGCACTTCCTCTGGGTGATACGTTCGGAAAGGTCACTGCAGGCCGACGGCGGCTCAGGGACGCTGTCTCTGCTCTGTAATGGAATTCAGTGAAAACAGCACGACATTTGCAACGAAAGCTGTCCATCCTGGTCATCATTACAGAGATTCTTACTTTACACTCGGAGGTTGAGTCAGTCCACAGCTCTCATTCTTCCCATGGGCACATTTATTAAGGGAAGGTTTTAGATTTGAGCTTCTCCTGTTACCACAGCTCAAATGTGTAACACCAAAGGAAAGGAGGGATGCTAATTCAGATCACACCGAGGTCACACGAGACGCTGTTACTTCACAGAGCAGTTTAGCTAATCTGAATTCCCCTTTCTTTTTTTCTGAAAGGTACTTCAGTGTGTAGTGAGAGGAAAAACTAAACAGAATCAAGAATCACTGACATTTGTGGTTGCACTGCTGGCTGCTTTTTGGAGAGACAGTGACTCACCTTTTCTTTTAAGTTTGTTTTGAAAAGCGTTGCGTGTTGAAGTCTCCGGCGCTCCTCTTTCCGCTCGGCCACTGCGCTCTGGAGCCGGCCTCACAGAGCGAAGCCTGAAGGACTTGTTTTAGTAGCATCCAGACACAGACTAAAAAAGGGATCAAAGTAATGTTGCCCAGTTGTAAAAACATTGTTTTATTCGTGGCTCTGTATTTGGGACTGACGCTGTGGATGAATTACCAAGCAGAGCAAATACCCCAGAATTATGTCCCTTGTTTCAATGATCAATTATTCATACAGTTAAAAGCAGGAACCTGAATTTCATTCTGAAGGAGACATGGATTTTCTCATCCGACTCCTGGAGACATGACTCCACAGGGGTGAAGGTAGCCGATAACTGCCCTAGTTTAGATCAAACTTGACCAGCGCTATGTTAATGACGGGCGCTCTCCTTTTTCTTGCCCAAAACAATCAAAGGTGTACTTGTCTCCCCCTCTCTGTGCAGCTTATGTATTCACATGTCACAGTCTGAGCCGTCTTGCAGAGTTTCCTGAGTGCTGAGGGGAGCCAGCAGCTGAGCGGAGTATGAGCACAAGTGATGCTTTCACAGTGCCCTGCTCTCAGCCGTCTGAACACCTCCCCGAGCCTTCATTAGCATGGCTGCTGCATTCAGCCTCATCGCAGGTCTTTGCAGTTCCACGCGTGTCTCCGCGCACGCACTCTTTCACGCACGCGCCGCCTCACTCCGACTTAAACACCCCTTCCCAACTTTGGTTGAATCTATTCGTCTGAATTCTTTTCCCCCCAGTTGGATTTCTTCCTTATTTACTCCTCCACACTATTCTCCCTCCAGCTCTCTTTTCATCCTTGTCCTTTTTTTTCCCTTCTCCCCCCTCTGCTTCTTTCCTGTTCTTTTGAACCCTCTTGCCTCTCCCATGTTCAGCCGTCCAGCATGAATTGGTCCTCTCCTTTTAAGATGATCATCACTTCAAGCTGCCTCTCTCTCTCACATGCATCATATTTTACTAGCACGTCAACCCCTCAATCCCTCCCCTCACTTCTGGACAGTGATGATAAACAACACTAAATAAATGTACCATCTGTACGAACACCAGTCGCTGACATTAGGATTTGACTTAAAAACGGGTAAAGGCTTTCTTTGCGAGTGTTGGTTGTATATTTTGTCCTGGCTCTGCTGTGGTGTCCCATCACCGATGCACGCTGTGTATGAATGAGCACAGTTGTGCTGGCAGGGGAAACGCCTGCATAGCTGTATATCTGCAAGTGAGTGCACTATATTCAGCGGAGCTCTCTACTCCCACCAGGGATTCTGATGTGCTCAGCAGGATTAGATGCATCATACGTCGTAGTGTGTTTGAAGTGCCCAAAAAATCATGAAATCGCGACCCCTGTGATGTTTCCTCTGAGGCCTTTTCCCTCCAGAAAAGAATAATGTTTTTTTTCCCCCTTCCTGTTAACTCTGCACACTTAAGAAGTTAAAAAGACTGTTATTGATAAGTGGAAGATGGTATTTCACTGACGCTTTCTCATGCGCTCACTCATAGCCTGAAAGAATGTTTTTATCTGAGCATACAAACACTGCTTAGGTTCCACAGCCCTGATTTTCCCCATCTTCTCTCCTACAGAGAATCCAACAGTTAGGTCCCCTTCACCTTCTTCCTGCACTCAGAATTAATGGATTCTTGAGAAAAACAGGTGTTTTAATCTGTACTGTCTCCCAGCGTCCCCCCTCACATTGTCAACTCGTATGTTGTGTGTTAAGTAAAGATGTGAAAAGCCACCAGCCTCTTCTGTGCAGCAGTCAGTCTGTTGATCATTGTTAATAAATCATTTGTGACTTGGGTCACTCTGATGGTCTCATGTAAAGCATCGGGGCCTCCATCAAAGTGTTTACATCCTTCATTTGATGAGCTGCTAAGAAGTGTACGGTGGCCTAATTACTGTGCTGGCATGGGGCTTGTTTAGCAAACCAGGAAAGGAATTGGAAATGGTGTTCCAAGGTAGAGCCCAAGTCTAATTACGAGGAGATGAAATGATTCGGAGAGATTGCCAATGCTTAAATGAGATGCGTTTGTAGGCTTCTTCACATGCTGCCACTTTTAAGTGGATTTTATGATAATGTGTTGGGTTCCTGAAGTTAATGGATTCCGCCCCCCCACCCAATTCAGTGATTTATTTGTTCCCGGCTGTATTTTGACACTAACATGTCTTGATGTGGAATTAAAAAGCAGTTTGAATGTGGTTTTTAAACCTTGAGTGTGAAAATGATTGCCAGACAATTTAAGCTCTCTGTCAGAAATAATGCTATTCATGAGTCCTACTCGCCAAACAAAAGCTGCTGTGGCACCATGCCGGCGTCTACTTGCTCAGATCATGTCTTCATTGTTGGAGCGGAGTTGTGACAGCAGCATCTGTGTCTAATGCAGCGCTGAGTGCCGGCCGGGCCCGGGACCTTCTCTGCCTCTGGTCTGTCCCTCACCTCATGTCGGGGACACAACCACAACGTTTGGGCCCTCTGCAGACTGCCAGAAAAGCGCCTTTCTAATAAGAACACAGCCTACCGACATCGCCCAGGCTTTGATAGCGGTTATCAATGAAAAGAGAATCAGTCTCTTTTTTTCATGCTGTCCTGTCGGCAGCAGCACTCCCCATTAGATTTTTCTTGATTGACAGCATTTCTTTCCCTCTGCTCTGTAGTAGAATTTGCCTCGTGTGTGTCCGTGTGTAATTCTCACACTTGGAAAGTGTGAAGATGAGAGAAGTGGCTGTGGCCGCTTTTGTCATTTTGTCTAGAGCACTATTCCCATGTGGGTGTCGGCATTAACCTGTTGCGCTGGCCCTGCCTTATTTGGTCGGGAGACGCGTGTGCAGCAGCCGGCTGAAAAACTCACCCATGTTGTCTCCCCCACAGTGCCCCGACTCCACCTGTAAGCAGGACCTGCTCGCCTACCTGCAGCGCATCGCCCTGTACTGCCACCAGCTCAACATCTGCAGCAAAGTCAAGGCTGAAGTTCAGAACCTGGGAGGAGAGCTGGTGGTCTCTGGGGTAAGCCTCTTTACCTCTTTTACCTGCCCGCCGTCCAGTGTCTCTTCAGGCTAAATCCAGCAGCAAAGGCTGAAACGGGCCGATACATTTCAAATCAGCTCGACTCTTTGCGGTGACAGAAAACGCAGACGAACTGTAAGTTTAAAAGTTAAGAGGGCAAATAAGGAAGACTGGAAACTGATGCAAACGTTGCAAGTCTCAGAAAGAGGCGGAAAAATCTGCTTCTCTCCGTTTTGTACTTTGGAGGGAAAACAATCGATACAAACAGAGCCATGTTTGTTTCTAGTGAAATCTCAGCAGGATCCCTTGAATTTCTGCTTTAAAAGAATAGTGAAGTCAATAGTTTTGTTATTTATTGTTGCGAAATAAGAGCCTAATACATTTAAAATACCAGGTTTTGATAAATTCAGATGCTAGTTGTGATAAATGATTCATTTTCTGCTCTGTGATTCGTAGGTTGTGTTAAATTAAAGAAACACACAGCAGACAAACCGCTTTTCTCGTGTTGTGCAAATGTTTCATGTTCCTTTTTCTTCCAAACAGCTATGCTCAACTTCAGCGTTCCCAGACCCCTATTAAAGCATTGATTAACCACTTATATGCTATTTTAAGATGATTAAAATGCCTTACTTCAGTGTGCAGAAAATAATGAATTTGCCCCTCCTTTCTGAGGGGCTGAAACACAAGTATGCTTCCAACACTTCCACTCAAGTGTCACTTGTGTCTCTGGGGCTATTAAAGTGAGCAGATTAAATTAGTATGACCTTTTTACATATTCGAAAATCCACCACGCACGTTTGTGGGCCAGACAAGGAGACAGTCGTTAATTCTCTGAAAACCCGCAGCACAAACCAGAGACGTTAGAGCGGTGGGCTGTTTACTTCTCTCCCCACCCAAATGAAGAGAGAGCCGATGTTGTTCTGTTTGATGAGGCTAACAGTTGTGTCTTCTCCCTCTTCCTCTCTCTTTTGTGCAGCTGGACAGCGCCATGTCTCTCATTCAGGCCGCAAAGAACCTGATGAACGCCGTGGTGTCCACGGTGAAGGCCTCCTATGTCGCCTCCACCAAGTACCAAAAGAACAAAGGCATGGAGGCTCTGAACATGCCGGCCGTGTCCTGGAGGATGAAAGCTCCCGAGAAGAAGCCCCTGGTGAAGAGGGAGAAGCAGGACGACGGGCAGGCCAGGGTCAAGAGATCCTCCCACAAGAAGCAAGTGAACCCCGTGCAGGCGCTGAGCGAGTTCAAAGCCATGGATAGCATCTAACACGCTAACACAAGTTTGTGACCAATGAGTTTAGATTAGAGCTTGTCATTTTATCAAAGAGCACAGCCGCCGCCGTGTCTGTTCGTAGACTGCGTTATATTCCTGCAATGCCTCATTCCAATGCTCTAAACGTTAGCGTTAGCTCCCGGTCAGTCAGAGGGGAAACAGCTGGAGAGGGCTGCTCTGTTCGGGAGGAAACGTAATGAAACTAATTCCGAGAGGCTTTTGATCATTTTGTGTTTGAACCAGATTTAATGTAAAGCGGTTTTCCTTTTGTCTTATTTGGGCAAACTGTGTTTTTGTACGGCAAATTTTCAACTATGCAAAGATTTCAACTGCCTTATTTTGACCTGAGAAATAACTGGGTTAACATGGTGTGATTTAAACAAGTATAGGCTCCTCCTAACTAATTTGTTTCTGGCTGTTTACATTCGTGCCTGGAATTGTAAAACTTCAGAACTGCTTTGGACTGAAGGACTTGGAGTGAATTTAAAGGGACCTTTACATGTTCTTGGCTCCTGTGTGACTAACATGTTCCCCGCTTTCATTTAGACTCCTTTAAGTTGTCTCTTTATGAATTAATCATCTCAAATTCTGTTTTGATAGTGACTTAACCGAAGGTGAAAACTGGCTTTTCCGTCTGTTTGGCTGCATATTGGCTGCATTTCTTTGACCCTACACTTAAAGCACAAACGCCCACCCACTTTAGTCCCACTGTGTAAATTAGCCCAAACTGCCCGAGTGTGTGGGAGAAGCCAGCGGGCTACAGAATGAGTGGCCTCCAGTCGTTATGTCCAAAGCAGACAAGCTTCATTAACATCAATGAAACCGAGCACCCCCACATTCTGAACGCGTCCAGTTTAGAAGATCAATACACTTTCTCTTTGCAGCTCAGAAATTGGCCAAGCAATTTAACTGCCTTTAAATTCTGCTTCTCATTTGTATTTCTTCAGCTTGAGCGCGCTAATCATGGTTTTATGTCAATCATAATCTTTATTTAAGAACATAAAAACAATTTCCAGATGTCGAACTTTTAGAATAAAAGGAAATAGTTTTGTTATTCGCTTTTTTTTCGTTTCTTTTCTTCTTTACTTCAAACAAAGGCAGTGGGATGGAGTTGTTCTTGGAGCTGGTGGTGTTTCGGTCTGCAGCAAGGCTTTGAAATTTTGCTGCTCTGGTCTTGAAGATGAATCTCGTTTTCCTCATGTAACATCTGTGAACTCTAACAGGGTGGCTATGTTTGTTTGTTAGACGAGTGGATTCTGTGTTTTTCAACGTAGAACCGAGCATCCGAGTAGGTTTTTGTTTCTTCCTCCCTTCATTCCTCATCTTTGCTGTATTATTTGAATTTGAATCCCGAGTGACTTCAAACTATTTTGCTGTGGATTTCTTCTTCTTTTTTTATTTTTATTGAGAGCTGACATATTAGTGCACACATTTCATATATTAATGTGCCTGATTTATATCTTAAATAAACTAAGTAAAACCCATACAGAGTTTTTATTTCAGTGTCTTTTCTGTCTCTGTCTCTTGAACTCTTTCCTCTCTCACATTGTTTTGCAGCGATGCCACATCCGTGTAGGAAATGAACCCCCTAAGAGAACATTTTAGCACGGGGCCAATTACGCTGTGTGCACAATGATTTATCACACGTGTGAACTCCACATCGTGTGTTGGGGACTTGTACTCTTGTAACTGACTTTAATTGTGCCTGAAATAATGTGCTTTGTTTTTTTTAAAAAAAAAGAAAAGCTGCAGCTTTAAACAACAAACTCTTTTTAGTCTCTTTGTAATGCCTCTTAAACATCAGCCTTACAAAGAGTTCCAGAAATCACAAATTGGCCAGTCTCATTTCTGAGATGATGGTCTGTCTCTTCACACTTTAGCACACTGAAATTGAATTTGTTTAATGAAATTGTTCCACTGTTCTGATGTTTTTGTTTACTGTGTGAAGTCAACAGACCTCTTGGTATAATTATTATCATTCCTCCTTCCGTTGAGCCTTTATTGAGCTATTTCTGAGGGGTTTTTTTCCCCTTCAAAATCTAAATGTAACCCTCAACTAAAAGGACGCACAGCAATTAGAACCAAGTGTGAAGGAAAAAAAAAAAAAAAGCCAAATGTGAGGCCATCTTTTATAAGGCCAATTTGGGCCATCCAACAGTACAATGATCCCAAACACCGCAGCAAAGAAATTAATCAAGATGTTCTGATAAACCAGCATGGCCTGAATCTCCCCCCCGACCTGAGTGAAGGGCTGTGTAGCGAGCGGGGCATAAATATCTGTAAACTTCAATGCACTGAAGACCTATTGTAAAGAAGAGTGCCATTTTTTTTATCCCCCAACAATGTCAAAGACTGATAACGCTATGCAGAAAGTGATTACTTTACCACACATCCAGAGTGGAGCAAACGGCTGCTATCTCCTCTGGTCCTTCACCTGACATCGACCCCATGTCATCAATTACTGAAGAGACGGGCTTGTTTTTCTTTTTTTTCTTTTTCCAGCCAGTCACCTCATTTCCCCAGCTAGATTCTTTTCGGTTCAGTCCGACTCCCTTTTAGAACCATATGTCTTTCTCATCTTTTATGATGTCATTTCTATTTTCAGTCAGTTGTCATCATGTCTATTAATAACCTGTATGTTCCCTTTTTTAAAAAACAAAACAAAACAACCTTTTATTTGTACTTGTTATTAAATTCTAGACACAGCTAAGGGGGGCAGCCAACTTAATTTTCTGGCCTCTGTCTGTTATTCACCCCGTTTTAGGAGTTTTCTAATCCTTTCTGTAGGGACTGACGGCTTCTGTTGCCTTCATGTTTCCTGCTCCTTAACATCTACTCTTAAAAGGTTTTAAATCTTACATTAAATAGTTTTGAGTCAAATGTTTTTTTTTTTTTTTTTTTTAAACGAATTTCCTCCAATATCTTCATCAGGAGCCAAGAGCTGAATCACGGGGCGTACTGCCTCTGCATTTTGGCCCAGTTTTCCAGTCAATGATGACACGGGTCTGAGGTAATCCTCGCCTCATTCCTGATACTGAAAAACCCCACAACAGGGAAAAAAAACAAAAAAACTTTTTTACATGACTGTGCATAACTGAGTGGACACTGCTGGCTGGTTCGACCCATTTGTCCACATGAAAACAATTAAGGGATTTCGGGGCAAATGCTACAAAACCCCAAGAGCAGATTGCAGGTCATAACCCTCAGAAACAGCATAAAGCTGCAGTGAACTGTAACAATCCAGCAGCTCCCAGCTAAATGAGTCATTATGGCACACTTGCTGACCTTTTGACCTGAAAACACACGAAAGGAGCATCAAAGAAACAAAAAAAACATTTCTGTGTCACAGTCAACCGGGTTAGTAATGAGCATGAAAGCAAACAACAGTCCAGACTTGGATTAGTCATCCCCAAAACCACCATCGAAAATATCAAATTCAGTTGATTTTAATAACTCTGATTCCCACATGAAATAGTAAACATAATCATCATCAATAATAATAAATCATCATATGGTCTTATTTCATCATCATGTATGCCTTTGTTTGGTTATCATTTATACTCTACAGCTGGAGAAATCCATTTAATGATTACCCAGAGAAGATTGAGAAGTTAGAGGATATGTTGGGTTTCAAAGAAGAAGACAGCTAACAAATGACCACTAAAACTATGTCCGGACTGTACAAAATAAGTGAAAAATGAATGAACAGAAAAAGTTTGTGCATATATTGACTGGATGTTGAAACAGATGCTGCCTCTGTGCTCACTTATGATTGGACCTAGGATCCTCGTGATGTTCTAGAAAATAACATGTCAGGCGAGTCAGATAACATGTTGAAAGTATTTTACAACTAACCTGCTGTGTGTGTTTGTCATCAAAGATCCCACATGGCGGTCATTGCAATCACGAGATATCAAGATAAAGCATCCAAAAAACAACTTTGAAATCCTAATATGAAACTGGGATACTCCTTTTTTATGCCCAGTTGCATTCTTTGACTGCTCCATCAAGTTAACTACTCAACTTCACACAAATCTTCAGTCTTGTTGCAATTGCCCCAACTCCATGTAGAACCACTTGGTGTTATTCATGTTCAACCAGGTGAATCTCATGATATAAATCTTCCATTTATCTGAAACTGGGCCCCTGCTGCCTGATATCTTAAACGACTTCCCACACTGTTAAAATCGCTTGGCTGATCTGAACTGGTCAGCTCGTTCTGGGGAGAAGCTGTTACAGATCCTCATGTAAGTTGACACATACAGGGACTTTCATGTGGCTTTTTTGTTAATCCTCCGCATGTCTGGCCTTTGGCACTAGTTGAAAAATTTGAAGAAAAATCAAAGAATAAAAAGCCTCCAGGGTAACCCAAGGCCATCGAATAGCACCAAACAGCGGGAAGAGGACGGGCACGTCTCTAAAACGAGGGCTGTGTGCTGAAGCAACTCTTCCAGTTGGAGCAGCTCTTGGAAGCAGAATACAAAGTGGAGCATAATTGTTTTAAACAGTGTTAGCCATCCGGCTCTATCATGGACCGATAGCAGACTCCCCTCTGCCTCAGGTTGAGCTGTCCACTCCCATGTGGTGCTGATTACTTGCCTAGAGGAAAATCTTACTTTCATTTCTTTGAGTCAGCATCAGACACAATCACTTCACATAAAATGGCTCAACAGTTTGTAAGAAAAAAAAAAAAAAAAAAAA